AAAAAAAAAAAAAAAAAAAAAAAAACCCGAAAAGAAAAAGCAAAGAAAAAAAGAAAAAAAATCTGTTCTCCACAGGGTACAGGACAGAGCTTGCCTCTTGTACATTGTAGTTCAATTAGTGTAATCTTTGATCCTGTTCACTTTTTGGATAGTCTTGTCAGGCTGAACAGAGGCAAAAATAGTGCTATGATTTTTCCCCTTGGCACTTTATTTCTAAATTCTCTCTCACCCTGCATTCATGCCTAGAGTTCTGGGAATCTGTATTTGTTCCTTTTCAATACTGTATCTGTGATGGGATGGAAATGGGAGCATTGTGTCCATCACGGAGCCTTGGTTATTTCCCTGTTTCATGGAGCAGAGGAGGGAGAGAGGCTCACTTGGAAAGGTTAGGAGACTGTAGCGCTGAGGATGTATGTGAGTGCATGTATTAGCAACAGGACAGAAAAACCAGGGCACAGGTGCTGAGACCGGGAGAAAGGACACAATTCTGTGGCGGGATCAGAGGTTATCTATTATAAAATGAACACTGTTCTGTTAGTGGAACTCTGCTTCTGTGTACCTTGTCTAGGCAGCAGCCCGTGAATGTGAGAACTCGCTTATGTTTCAGATCAAGAAATTCATACACACACACACACACACACACACACACACACACACACACATAGCTCTAGGGACAGACTAGTATTCAGAACCTGTATGGCTAAGAGGTGTGGTCCACAATGATTAAAGTAATGAAGCATTAGACCAAGGCAGCACTTGTGTTGAGTACCCAGTTCTTCCAGATTTATCTTTGTGTTTGACATTGTCTGTACTTCACAAATCTTCTTGCTGTGACAAGATTTCCTGTCAAGAAAGGACTTAAGCAGGGAAGGTTTGTTTTGATTCATTCTGAGAAAGGCTACAGTCCATCCTGGCAGGGTACGCCTGTCAGTAAACACATGAGGTCACGTTAAATCTACAGTCAGGAAGCAAAATCTGGACAGAAAGTGGGGCCAGGAAATAAAAAAGATCAGGGCCCGCCCACAGTGACCACATTCATCTGTCAGACTCTACTTACCGAAGGTTCCACACTTTTCAAAACAGCACCACCAACCAGGGACCAAATGTTCAAACACAAGCCTATAGGGGGCATTTTCTATTCAAACCACAATTTACTACTATTAAAACTTTGCAATGAATGCTTTCTTCTGAGATTATTTGGAGATGTCAAAGAATTACTGCCTCAGAGGAGAAATGAAGTTATAAAACATGCAAACATATATCTTACAAAACACAAAGAGCCTGCTATCTGAATTTGTTTGTTCTTTGAGTGAAATACACACACACACACACACACACACACACACACACACACACACACATGTATACATATGTATGTCCCTTATCTTGTAGGCCTTTGCCCAGTTTGATGCTGAGGGTGATGGGACAGTTGACGCTGAGAATATGTTGGAAGCCCTCAAGAACTCCAGTGGAGCCAATCTGCAAGGGGAACTGAGCCATGTCATCAGACAACTACAAGCCTGCTCTCTTGTTCCAGGTAGGTGTTCACATGAATTCTGAAGGCTCAAGATGTTCTCTTAGAGCCAAAGTGTTTTCAGTTAGCATTAATGGCACCTAGGCTGTCTCATTGGCTATGGTGCTGCCATTGCACAAAACTTAGAACCAAAATGAACTTGGTTGTGCTGTAGGTATTGAGATTGGCCCAACTGTGGCACCATGAATTCCTCCCAAAGCATTCATTAGAAATCCTTCACTTTTATTTCTCAACAGTGATGGCTGGATAGTTTTCTGTTTTTCTGCCTCTTGGTCAAGAGGCTGCCCTCTAGTAGATCTGCTTGTTTACTTCCTTAAGAAGGGTGCCTGGCCCATGCTGCATGATCTCATAGCACCTGCCTTTTCTTCTGCATTAATATTGTTTCATTTTTCTTTTTTTTTGTTTTTGTTTTTGTTTTTTTTAACAACATAATATCAGCGTAATAAATAAACGGATTTAATTATTGTCTGTCTTCTTTCCATTGCTGTGGGCTCTATCAGAACAGGGACCTTCTCTTATCTTTTGCTATGTTCTCACAGTTTATTTTTGGCATATGTTAAGCATTTTATTGTTTTCTAAAACTTTTACTCTGAAACTTTAGTAAGTTTTGTAAAGAAAGCATTGCTAAAAATTAAGCAATGGTGCTTCTACCTGTTGTACATTTGAAAAATATTGACTCTTAATTTTTTTTTGCTTGTTTTATTTTCTTTGTGCTCATCTTCTCTCTCTCTCTCTCTCTCTCTCTCTCTCTCTCTCTCTCTCTCTCTCTCTCTCTCTCTCTCTCTGCCTGCCCCCCTCCTACTCCCCTGTGTGTGTACTGAGGATTGAACCTAGGGCTTTGTACTTGTTAGGCAAGTGCTGTACATCACTTTATACCCAATCTGGTCTCTGTGGTTAGATGATTTCCTTGGTCACTCAGACTTATGTAAAGACAGCATCAGAAAAATTTGTCCTTCATTTTTTCAAGTGAGATGACAGTTCAGTTTGAAAGGGAAATAGCATTGAACATCATTTGACTTAAGAACTTTGCCTGTTCTGTACACCAAGTGACAATAATTAGTGTCTTTAGGCAGGAGTAAAGACTGGATAGACTTGGCAAACTGTAAATTTGATTGCTGTTGAAACCTCTGACCTACTGCCGAGTGATGTATTGAGTCAGGGAAGGATAATGTCTGCATCTTAGTGGAGAAGGAATGTTTTGTTATCCTTCATTATGTAATTCTTTCAGGGCATTTGTAGGTAGCCTATATATAGAACTGTTTTTCCTAGTGTCATGGCAGGTAAGGTGAACTTTGAATTTCATTTAGCTAACATATCATAGTATGTATAGTCACTCCCACTTTTGCATTACAGATATGTGGGTGGCATTATTTGGATTCCTCAGATTGTGTGTATGTGCGTGAGTGTTCTGGGGATCACATCAGGACCTCACAAATGCTAGGCAAGCATTGTACCCCTGAGCTATCCCATGAGTCTCAGAGAGATTTTGTAGGCAGGGTAGGGAAGGGAGTCCACCAGTGAGTAATGCTTGCTGCACTCGGTGCCTGGTGGAGGAAAGTGATGATGGAGAAAGATCAGAGTCCAGATCCTGAAGTGCTCATAGTATACACTCATGACTTAAATCTTTCAACTCAAAAATATGTAGTAATATCCAGCATAAAAGAATCATCAGTCTCAAGCCCTTGAAAGCTGAGGTCATCTCTGGGTAGCATCGAATAGTTTCCCAGTCCTCCTCTCAAATGTCCTCACACACTGAAATATTCATTCTTGTCGTATCTCACTGTAGATGTATAGAGTTCACTGAAATAATTCCTTTGTAGAACCTTTCTAAAACTGAAAACATTTTTCATTACAAAATTGCTCTGGGTGTGTGTGTGTGCATGTGTGTATGTGTGTACCGTGTGTGTGCACATGGGTGTGTATACTGTGTACATGTGTATGTGTGTGTGTGCTCATGTGCAGCAGTCTGCTGTTTGGTGTGGGTTCTGAGCAAATCCAGACAGCATCATGGGATATGAAGCCTCATCCTCATGTGGGAGTAGGTAGAGGTTGCCTAGATTTTGAGTCTTTAGAAATCAGCTGTCTCTGGGGTTTGAGTAGGCCATATAATCAGAATAGGCTGCTTTAAGCACAGAATTTCTTCTTGGCCCATTGCTTTATACAAAAAGTTGCTGCAGAGTTTTATTTGCTTCTATTGAATCTGTTTTGCTGTTGAATACAAGTTCCCCAGAGACTGCTGGTATCTTGATCTGAGGCTTTTTACATAGGTCTCTTGAACATGTGAAAATTTGTCAAATAATACCATTATATGAAATTTTTGTCATACATTATGACTCATTTAAAAAGTGGGAAAAGCTGGATAGTGGTGGTGCATGCCTTTAATCCCAGCACTCGGAGGCAGAGGCAGGCAGATCTCTGTGAGTTCTAGGCCAGCCTGGTTTACAGAATGAGTTTCAGGACAGGCTACAAAGCCACAGAGAAACCCTGTTTTGAAAAACCAAAAAAAGGGGGGAGGGATAACACCCCAAATCCACAAATATGTCTCTGCTCCCAGAAAAGCTGCCATGGTTTTCCTTGCTTCACTTAACCTGGTACTTCTGGATTGTAGTAACCTGTTTGAGATTCATTAGTTTAGGTTATAAGGAGACAGCAAAGGATTCTAAACATGGCAGGTGTGTGGTCTGTGTCACATCTTTATAAGATTACTCAGGATAATGGTCCATGAGAGGCAGGTGACATTTGGGGAGTTACTCAGCTTCCAAGTGGGCATCTGAGCAGGAGGTGTTGAGGCTGAAAAAAGATGGAGGAGCAGACTTCAAATGAATCACACACTGGGGAGAAGGGGAGGAGGGAGTGGAGGAGTGTTCCCCACCCTGTCTTCTTCTTGCTCTCTTGTAAGTCACCTGAGTTTCATTTCCACCGTTATAAAGCAAAGCTACCAGGACCTTCGCTCTACCCCTGGACAACATGCTACATTTCACTGTATTGTGAGGGCCAAGTGAGGCAGTATATATGTCAAGTACTTCATATCTCATAAGATTCTTTCAGAAACTGACAATGGCAGCAGATGTTTTGTTATTAGGACCTTAGCTTAAACACTAAGTTCCAAGGGATCAACTCTGTATTCTGGCCCCTGTGGGCACCAGACATACACATATGTACATATGTACACGCAAACAAAACTCATACATACAAGATAAAAATAACTATATCAGCCGGGCAGTGGTGGCGCACGCCTTTAATCCCAGCACTTGGGAGGCAGAGGCCGGTAGATCTCTGTGAAGAGCTAGTTCCAGAACAGGCTCCAAAGCTACAGAAAAACCCTGTCTCGAAAAACCAACCAACCAAACAAACAAAGCTATATAATTTTTTAGAAAAGATTTATTTTTTTAACTGCTAAGCTATCTCTCCAATCCCTAAAATAAGTTCTTAAATTGAGGTTGCTACTTGTTCATTTCTTTAAAACCTATTTATATTTTTAAATAATTAAAGCTCAAAATTTGAGTAGAGTTAGTGACTGCTTTTAATTTAGCCACTTCAGAGGGAGCAGCAGGCACGGGATGTGGGAACTATTGTCCTGACTTCACCAAAACACCACAAAAAATGGATTTTATGTCTTTAGGTTTCATCGACATATTTTCAGAGTCAAAGGAGGGCCTTGGCACTCACTCATCAATGATATTGCGCTTCCTGCATCGCAATCGGATCTCGAGTATGGTGATTCCCTACCCAATGTTAGACCACTGCAATAACATGTGCACCATGCGGTCATCAGTTCTGAAGGAGTCTCTGGATCAACTGGTACAGAAAGAAAAAGGTATGTGCATGGGAGAGTCTCCTGAAAATGCTCTCCCATTATTTCTTGTAGTGTTTTGTAATAGGGTGAGTCAGTTCTTCCTTTGCCTGTATTTCTCAAAATATATAACCAGTTTCTAACCTAAGAATGTTCTCCCTGCCTCCTTGCCTGTGTCTGATGACTTGAGTTTATATAAAAGCCATATACAGTGGTGCACATCTATAATCCCAAGCTAGGCAGTAGAGGCAGGCAGATCTCTTTGAGTTTGAAGACCACCCTGGTCTACAGAGTGAATTCCAGTACAGGCTCCAAAGCTACACAGAGAAACCCTGTCTCAAAAACAAAACAAAACAAAATAACAACAACAAAAAACTTAGAGAGAAAGACTCTGCCTCTCAGAAAGGTGGAGAGTGAGAACTGACTCTTGAGATGTGTTTTCTGACCTCCATGTGTATGCTGTGATGTACATGTAGCCCCACCTCTACTCATTAAATTAAAAAAAATTAGTAGGGTATACTATATAAAACTTCAAAGTTTCTCCCAGCAAAAATGTAAGCAATCAACATAGACATCCAGGGGCAAAATGTTTTCTATCATGTTAATGACCCATTTGGCTGAGTTTTTGGAGTTTGGGTTTTTTTTTTTTTTTTGTCTTGTTTTGTTTTGTTTTTCGAGACAGGGTTTCTCTGTGGCTTTGGAGCCTGTCCTGGAACTAGCTCTTGTAGACCAGGCTGGTCTCGAACTCACAGAGATCCGCCTGCCTCTGCCTCCCGAGTGCTGGGATTAAAGGTGTATGCCACCATCGCCCGGCCTGGGGTTTTTTTTTTGATAAGTATTTTTGGTCAGTTAATTCACTTTTTGCACCATGTCAGTAAGCAGCCAAGTAAATATTAGTTTTTATAGGTGCATGGACTTATATTTGTAGTGTATGTATGTGTATATATATTACTACAAATGTGTAAATAGTAAATGACTTGGTTTTTCAAAACCAGACTATTGCCAGCGACGGTGCTGTACAACTTTAAACCCGGCACTTGGGTGGCAGAGGTAGACAGATTTCTGAGAGCTCGAGGCCAGCCTGGTCTCCAAATAAATTCTAGGACAGCTATTACACAGAGAAAACCTGTATTGAGAAGCCAAAATCAAAACCAAACCAAACAACACAAAACAAAAACACAAAAACAAACAAACAAACAAAAACCCAGACTATTAACCAGGAAGAAAATGGGAGAGAGTAGAACTAGAAAACACTCAGAAATGTTAGTTACTTCAAAAGCCTAATTTGGGCCATCAAGATAGCTCAGCAACTGAAGGTACCTGTGATTGTTTTCAATATTGATGACCTGAGTTTCACCCCCAGAACCCACAATGGTAGAAGGAGAAAAGCATCTCTTATAATTTACCCTGTAACCCAGACCCAGAGAGACAACTATCACATGTACTCACTCATAAGTGGTTTTAAAACATAAAGCAGAGAAAACCAGCCTACAAATCTAGAGAACCTAGACAACAATGGGACCCTAAGAGAGACATACATAGATCTAATCTACATGGGAAGTAGAAAAAGACAAGATCTCCTGAGTAAATTGGGAGCATGAGGACTTTGGGAGAGGGTTAAAGGGGAGGGGCGAGGCAGGGAGGGGAGCAGAGAAAAATGTAAAGCTCAATAAAAATCAATAAAATTAAAAACTAAATAATAATGATAATAATTTACCCTCTGACCTCCACACCTGCATAATGAGAAGATGGGGCAGTCATTGGCCAGTGGGTTTTTTGGAAGGAGTCTTTTAAGGAATGTTAGATTTTTCTGCCAAAGTGTTAAGCATGTTTCTGTTAGATATTTTAAATGACCATTTTCATTTTCCCTTTGTAAAATAGCTAAGCTTTGGTGTTTTCCTGCAGAAAGCCCTGGAGACCTAGCCAGAAGCCCGGAAATGGATAAACTCAAGTCGGTAACAAAGTGCTATGCTTATATAGAAACATCCTCCAACCCTGCAGACATCTACAGGATGACAAATGGAGAAACATCATCCTACTGGCAGTCAGATGGTAGTGCCCGCTCACACTGGATACGGTGGGTAGTACATGTTTTATTTGTTTAAAATCTCGAACGTGGCCTGGGGAGATGGCTCTTCTAGGAGGTAAAATAGAAATCCTCACCTTGTTTCCTCTTAGCTCACTTATAAATGAGGAGTATACTCAGCTTTTTGAATGCAGTTTAGAATTGCTTCTAGTAAAAGAATGTTCATAGTGTCCATTTCTGCTTATACTAATAGCTTAATAGGAAATATAAAATTAACCTAACAGAGCGACTTTGTAGAGATTTAGGGAACCTGTACAACCCTTGAAATACATAGGTAGCATCTCAGGTTAGTCGTTTAGAAATCCATCTTAGCCAGGCAGTGGTGGCACATGTCTTTAATCTCAGCACTCAGAAGGCAGAGGCAGGTGGATCTCTGTGAGTTTGATGCTATCCTGGTCTACAGAGCAAGTTCCAGGTCAGCCAGAGATACATAGAGAAACCCTGTCTTGAAGGATGCCCCCCCCCAAGAAAAGAAAGAAATCCATCTTTACACGTACCAAATGCAAGGTCCAGAGTTGGGGCTGTGGCCCCACCAGTGCTTGGCCCATGTAACACAGGTGGTTTCTGTGGTCTGTTTTCCAGTTTGAAGATGAAGCCAGATGTCGTGCTCAGGCATCTTTCCATTGCAGTGGCTGCCACCGACCAGAGCTACATGCCACAGCAAGTGACAGTGGCAGTGGGAAGGAGTGCCAGTGATCTGCAGGAAGTACGAGACGTGCACATCCCCAGCAATGTCACTGGCTACGTGACACTGCTAGAAAATGCCAACATCAGTCAGCTCTGTGAGTCCAGTGGAAGTGGGCTATGATGAGAGCAATGGCGGGGATTTTGTTTAAGCCTTAGGACAGCTTCTGAAGTCTTGACAGTTGATTTGTTTCTATTACACCCACAGGAAAATCATTATTATTTTATCTACTAATTACAAAAACTTTAAAAAAGCAATAAAGCCTCTCTGTAATTAAAAGTATATTGTTATTTTCTTACTGGGAAACTTAACAAACATAGACAAACAAAAAGTATTCAAAATCTTTCTACAGAGAGGTTGTCGAGTCACAGCTGCTTTGGTGTGGTCCTTTCCAAACCACTTCTTGTGTTTATACGTACATATATAAAAAGCACTCTTTAATAGAAATAGGATTATATATATATTTGCATGTAGTATATACATAGCATTTCCCAAAGATTATAATATTCTGCTCACATTCTTTTGTATTTTTATTGTTGTTTTTTGGTTTTTGAGATAGGATCTCACCTTGTAATTCTGGCTGTTCTGAACTCTCTATGTAGTCCAGGTTGGCCTGGAACTCACAGAGATCCGGCTGCCACTGCCTCCCGAGTGCTGGGATTAAAGGTGTGTGCCACCATGCCGGGCTCTTTTGTATTTTTAATATGTTGTTTATAATATGTTTAATATCTCATATAGTGATGACGCCCTTTTTTTTAAGAGTTGTAAAAATGTTTCAATTCTAACCTACCCTTTGTTCTTGGACATTTATATTTTTAATTTTCTATATTATAAACTTTTTCATACATAGCATTTTGGAAATAACAGTTTTTATTTCATTTAGGGAGCCAGAATGCTTCATGTCTTATTTCTCTTAATGCTTTCCTGGTCTAAAAGTGCTTTTCCTTTGCTCAAAGGAACTGGGCCTACAGAGCTACTGTCTCTGTATCTCACCCCTACACAAATAAGTAGTTATGCTTGTAGAGTAGAAGCTTTCTGCCTTAGGCTGTGGCACTCTTTTCTCTAAATTGTGTTCTTTTTAAATGGCTTCCCTTGTGACATGTGAATGGGAGTCATGTCTACATCCACTATTTGGACTTGATTGTTAAAAAGACCCTCTCACAACTGTCTAGGAGCCAGATACTGAAACTCTAGGATTCTAGAAAGGTTCAAACCATGCATTAAGTGGGAATTTATAAAATGTATTTTACAAGATTCATAAAATTCTGAAGAACTTTTATAAATCACTTCTAACTTTACACATTTTTCTTACAGTTTCTTAGATTTCTCACTGTTTTTGTGACAGGTTAATTCTGTGCTAGTTCTATTGTACACATTATTTATTTCTGTTACCAAAATATATCTTTACAATTTTCCATTTTGCTTTTAGTTGAGAGCCTACCATTTGTTGACCCTTTAAAGACATTAATCTAGCGCTGAACTTGTTGTTTGTGCTCTACAGATGTCCAGATAAACATAAAGCGTTGTCTTAGTGATGGATGTGACACTAGGATTCATGGTCTGAGGGCTGTTGGCTTTCAGAGAGTTAAGAAATCTGGAGTCTCAGTCTCTGATGCCTCTGCAATATGGTACTGGTCTCTGCTGACATCCCTGGTGACAGCTTCTATGGAGACAAATCCTGCCTTCGTCCAGACCGTGCTGCACAATACTCAGTAAGTCAGTACAGTTCCCTAGTGGTCAAGGTGCACTTCTTCAGCCTCCAGGGAGCATCCTGTCTAACCCTGCCTCAGGACGCTGCTCCACTGATATTCTGTCTGTAGACTAAAGAAGCGTCTGTTCTACCTTCTGCCCTGCTGACACAGTTCCTCCAGTGTCTTTCTTCATTAGCTCATTAGTTCCCTGACCTGAAGTTAGCCACACTGTCTCTACTCCTTATGCATCAGAAACAGTTAAGCATTTATGTAACATTTACTATTAGACAGACCGTTTAAAATGTTGGCTTGTTTACCTGCAGATACTGAAGTGCTTCTGTAAGTCATCCTCATTTTGTAGGTTGAGGATCTAGTGATCTTCCGGAGTCACACGACCAGGCAGGGATGAGTCACTTTGGATCTAGGTTTTTGGACTCCCATGTTGGGAACTCTTTTCACTAGTGAGTTAAATATTTTCAGTGATAATAAACTAAGTTTTCTCTTGTTGAAGGGGCCCCACAGTAGCAACATGTAGAGCAAAAGCCCCAGCACTGGGGAGGTGTAGATGGGATTGATGCAAATTTGAAGTGAGTCTACATTTTATGGCAAATTCCAGCCAGACAGGGCTACTTAGTAAGACCCTGATTTTTAAAAGGTGCTTCTGTAGTAATGAATTGCTAGTGTATTGCATGTGGGTTCGTAACAGAATGCATCATTAGTATAGCGTCAAGGATGGGTATGAAGGAGGAGTCTAGTATTTATTCTCGTGTCCGTTTTTGAGATTAGTGTTATTTAGTACAACTTGTCAGCAGGTGACACTGCTGGCAATGCTGAATCAGTTGGGAAGCAGTGGCCACCCCCCATCCTTCAGTCCTGCCTTAAAATCATTTTTATTGCTGGGAATGTACACGTAGTATACACAGATGAACAGGCACACAAAAATAAAAACAAAGATAAAAAAACTGGGTAAGTGTGGTGGTGGTGGTGGTGGTGGTGGTGCACACATTTAGTCCCAGTACTTGGAAGGCAAGACAAGTGGATCCCTCAGTTCAAGGCCAGTTTGATCTACAGACCTAGACTACAGATCTTGACTCTGGGGAGTTCCTGCAGAACTTTGCAGCTGATTTGATTCCGGAATGGCACCTGGTTTTGTGCCTACTACCTTTTGTGTCCACTACCTTCTGTCTGAAGTATGTAAATCTTATCTGAGTGCTTCTTAAAAGGTTCAAAGCCTATGTAAAACTTGGTTGTGGGAGGACTCAGAAAACAGAAGTCCTGTGACTGGAAATTGTTTTGGCATTTGTCTCTTTGCAGAGCTTCAGATAAGAGGCTATGGTATGGGGAAATTGACTTGCTAAAGGTGTAAATTGTATAACAATAAAAAAGACTTTTGGGGGGCTGGTGAGATGGCTCAGAGGTTAAGAACACTGGCTGTTCTTCCAGAGGTCCTGAGTTCAATTCCCAGCAACCACATAATGGCTCATAACTATCTGTAATGAGGTCTGGTGCCCTCTTCTGGCATATAGGTATTTGTATACATAATAAATAACTATATACATATTTAAAAAAAATAAAAATAAAAAAGACTTTTGCAAAGGTACAGTCAGTCAGTTCACCAGAAGTTGTTTTCTCTGTAACTGCAAGGCTAAAAGTCATCCTAGAGAGACCCTGTTTCTTCCATGGACCTGCTTGAACCAAACACCTGATGCAACACTTTACCCCTCTGAAAATTACAAGTCAATTATTTTGAAGAGTATTCTATGATTCTGGCGCATCCGATTTTTTATCACAAATAGATTTGGGTTTTTAATTTCATTTTGCTTGACTCAGAAAGCCTTACTGTGTAGCCAGGCTGGCTTGCAACTCACAATCTTCCTGTCTCAGCCTCCCAAGTGCTGGGATCCCAAGTGTGTGCCACCAGGCCTGGTTATGTTTTGCACTGACAAATGTATATGTATATGTAAATATATATGATATTGTGCAACAATGTCACAGAAGTGGTGCTATGCTCTCCTTGCATTCCATCTGGTGGCAAAACCACAGATTGTCATGTTCTTAGAACTGCTTGTGTCAACTTTGACTGTTGTCAGATTTCTTTTCAACTCTAGAATTATTTTTTTGTTATCGATTATTTGGTAAGGAGGTACTTTATGGCTATGTAAATCCCACCCCCAACAAACTTTCTGTTTACATTAAGTAAGGCTTTACAGATCCCTGATTTATACACTGGTTTATAGTTAACCACAGTTTTTTGTTTGTTTTTTTTTTTCTTTTAGTTTTTCAAGACAGCATTTCTCTGTTTAGACCTAGCTATCTTAGAACTCACTCTGTAGACCAGGTTAGCCTTGAACTCACAGAGATCCACATGCTGTTGCCTCCCGGGTGCTGGGATTAAGGACATGCACCACCATTACCCTTAACCACAGTTTATTTTTTAATCTTTGTTTTTGTGTGTGTGTCTGTTTGTCTATGTGTACACATGTGTGTCTTCCTCACAGAGACCAGAAGAGATTCTTGGATCTCTTGGAACTGAAGTTGTAGGCACTTGTAAACAACTTGATGTAGGTGCCAGCACCTTGACAAAAACATCAAGTACTTGTAACCCCTGAACCATCTCTTTAGCCCTAACCACAGTTTTGAAGTTCACATGGTCCCAGATTTGATTGGTTAGGTAACCCCTTCGGTCTGAGTTTGTGGGGTTTTTTTGTTTCTTCTTGTTGTTGTTTGTTTTGAGGTTTTTGTTTGTTTGTTTGTTTGTTTGAGACAGGGTTTCTCTGTTTGACAGCCCTAGCTGTCCAGAAACGAACTCTGTAGACAAAGCTGGCCTCAGACTGACAAGAGATTTGCCCACCTCTTCCTCCAGATTGCTGGGATTAAAAGTGTGCACCACCACCGCCAGGCCTTTGTGTGTCCTTTTGTATTGTATCTCTATTTATTTCTATCTGCTTGTCTGTCTAGCTCCCCATTGTTCTTATAATTGTCATTATAAAATAGTTCCCCTTCACATTTTTTCTTTTCACACAGGGCTTTGCTCTGCTACTACCCAAGCAAGGTCCTTGAAGAACGTTACTTTGAAACTCAGCTCATTGCTGTAAGATTGTTACTTCTCCCAGGTCCTTTCAGTAGACACAGCCAGCAAACTCACATTTACTTCAAAATAAATATAGACACATATGTATATTCACATCTATATTTCTGTATCTCTAATACTAAGAACCGACATTACATGAGTATTTCCACCTCCAGTTCAGTACCATGAGATCCATTCTTGTTTTCTCTGTTTCTGGATCTGTCGTTTCCTTCTCAGATGGTAAGAAGTGGCTCCTGGTGTTTTTCATGCATTAACTTGCTTATTTTCTTAGTATTTTTCTATGCAACCAGGGTTCCTTGCCCCTGCCCTTGCAGAAAACCTCCACATATCCTTCCTGTTCCAGTGTCATTAATAGAGCCACTGATGTGAGCATCCTTGCCCCGGTGCCTTTTTGTCCCCCGAGTTCCCATATCCTGTGTCATGCCACCCTCCTCATTCTGGTTGGCACCTTTATTCCATTACTGGTCTGTCCCTTTGTGCAGGTACCTCTCTCACTCTGCTCAGGCTCCATATCCAAGTATAGGTCATCCACAGCGCCTCTGTCACCCACAGCTTCACCAGTGTGCACTGAGTTTTCAGAAGGAGAGGAAGAACGTCTGTCTTAGTTTTTGTTGTTTGTTCTGAGAAAGGGTCTCTTTACATGGCCTAGGCTATCTTGGAACTCACTATGTACACCAGGCTAGCATTGAACTCATAGGGACCTGCCTGCCTCCGCCTCCTGAATGCTGGAATTAAAGGTGTGGGCCACCACACCACAACCCCTTATTGGGGTTTATTTGTTTGTTTGTTTTGATGATGTACCATTTTGTGGCAGAATGTTTTTGCTCCATTTTCTTAGTATGTATGCAATAGTACTTTCACTTCCCCTGACTTTTAAAGTTTAGTTATCTAAAAAGCATTACAAAATAAAAAAAATGTGCCTTGAGGAGAAATAACTAAAAATATATTTGGGGCAGAGTAAATGTTTACTTACATGAGAGAAAATGAATATCACACTATGTGATTTTGCCTTTATTAACACCTGCATCTGAGCATAGTTGCTAGCACAGCTCCAAATGTCTGGCAGGCAGGCAGGCAGGGAAAACCAGAGTAGAGAGGAAACTGACATTGTGTTAGGTTGCTGTATTGTTTGTATTTTCAAGTGAAGAAATTGTCAAGCATGGGGACAAACATCTACAATTCCAACACTCGTGAGACTGGGGCAAGAGGATTGCCATGCGCTGGAAATCAGCAGGGGCTATGGAGTGAGTTTAAGCTGAGCCTGGGCTACATAGCAAGATCCTGTTATAAGAAAACAAAATAAAGGGCTGATTGATACTTTGCCTAACATGTAAGAGACCCTAGGTTCAATCCTTAGGACTACCAAAAACCAACCAACCAAACAAACAAAAACCCCTACCCTAAATAAATAATAATGGAATAGAGAGATGGTTTATAGTAGTTGAGAATGCTTGCTGCTCTTACAGAAGACTGTAGATCAGTTCCCCAAACCCCTATCCAGAAGCTCACAAACACCTGTAACTTCAACTCCAGGGCATCTGACACCCTCTTCTGTTCCTCTCAGTCATTGTTCTTTTGTGTACAAAGACACACAGAGATTTCAATCTCTCTCTGTGTCTCTCTCATGTAACCCAGGCTGACCTCAAACTTGTGATCCTCCTGCTTCACATATATTCTATATGTGTGTGTGTAAGCCTATATGTGTGTATACACACACACACTATACATATACATATACATACACACACATATATTTCTGGTGTGAGCCACCATGCTTGGCTTATGATGTTTTCATGTATTCTTGGCATACCTTCAAGTGTTTCATGGTACAATCATGTACTCAGTGCACCTTTAGCATCCAGTAATCACCTGTTAAATAAATTTAAAACAAACATTAAGGTTAAAAGGCCAAAAGACCACAACAGGCACAGAAAATGTGATGGTGCTGATCTCCTGAGGAATCAACAAAATTTGTGGCACCTCTTTAGATGCCATAGATTCTAAGGTTCTGGTACAAAACAAACTTTCTACTAAATCCACACAGCACTGTCTTGGGGACAGTTTTCATGAGTCTGTGTCTTTTATACTTAACTCTTAACATGAGTTCCAGGTAGCCAAGGAAGTCTTTACACAGTGAACTCGTCCAGAAAAGGAAAAAAGTGAAACATGTAGTGCGATATTTTATTCTTTTGGGGTCACCACCCAACTCACAAATAAATGTCACACACAGAGCTTTTTCTTAATCATAAATGCCTGGCCTTAGCTTGGCTTGGTTCTAGCCATTTATTTATTTATTTGTTTTGAGATGAGGTTTCTCTGTAACTTTGGAGCCTGTCCTGGAACTAGCTCTTTTTTTTTTTTTTAAATAATTTATTTATTTTTATTTTATGTACTTTGGTGTTTTGCCTGCATGTATGTCTGTGTTAGGGTGTTGAATCCCCCTGGAACTGGAGTTACAGACAGTTATGAGCTGCCATGTGGATGCTGGAACTTGAACCCAGGTTCTCTGGAAGAGCAGCCAGTCTCTTAACTGCTGAGCCATCTCTCTAGCCCTGGAACTAGCTCTTGTAGACAAGGCTGGCCTTGAACTCACAAAGATCTGCCTGCCTCCTGAGTGTTAGGATTAAAGGCGTGCGCCACCACTGCCCGGTTTAGCCAGCTTTTCTTATTTTAACTCATCTACCTTTTGCTTCTGGACTTTTATCTTTCTCTATTTATTTATACCTTAATGTTCCTTCTTACTCCATGGCTGGCTGAGTGGCTGACCCCTGACATCCTCCTCCCATTGTTCTCCCTCCTCGGTTCTCTCCTCCCAGATTTCTCCTTCTACTTATACTCTCTGCCTGCTAGCCCCGCCTATCCTTGCTCCTGCCTCATTCTTGGCCATTCAGCACTTTATTAGACCATCAGGTATTTTAGATAGGCAAAGAATCACAGCTTCACAGAGTTAAACAAATGCAGCATTAAAAAAAGCAACATATCTTAAAATAATATTCCCTAACAGAAACTAAACTGTTTAGTATATGACTCCTAGGGAAACAATATTTGTATTGCACACCAGGCTCTCCACAGGAATACTCTCTTCTAGCTCAAAAGATTCTTCAGCATAAGATATGATGGTGCCCTGTTGTCTAGTGTCATGTCTGGCCTTGCTCTGATTGCACATGTTACTTCTCTAGGAAGGCACTGCAGCACATGCCACCACTGTCCCTCTCACCAGGATCTACAGACTTCTCAACTTTCCTGTCTCCTAATGTTCTGGAAGAAGTGGACAGCTTCCTCGTAAGGATAACTAGGTAAAATCAAGGATGCTGAGGTGAACATTTTGTGTGGGGTAGAGGGCATATATTCTCATTCAGTTCTTAAGAAAAATTTAGAAGAATGTTTTCACTAAAAATGATTCATTTTTAGTAACCAAAGAGAAAGTGAAATAATCCGTCCTAAATTCAATTGACCGTGGTAACCTCTAATATCCCTTGACCTTAAGAATTGGGGTACAGAGGAAGTGGGCCTCTGATTTGTTTAGAAGAGATATATCCAAGGCTAAGATTGCAGGCCTCTTAATTCATCCTTCTTCTAGCCTGTGGTCTTCAGTTAGCTTGCTTACATACAGACTAACAAGCCTAGTTAGTTGCCTATAGAACTGGAAAAGTTGCCTACTTAACTTTATAGAATGGAACACTTGGTGTGAAGACATTTGCTGCCCACAGCAAGCCCTCAGGACATTAACTATTCCCTGAGATACACAGATAGCTTCCAGTTTCCATTATGGTGTGTTTGGAAAGGCACAGATGTATAAAGGGGGTGGATCTAGTAGTTCTCATGCTTCTTAAGTTATGCACCTCTAGCTCTGTGTCCAACCCAGCTCATTCCCAAGGATTCCTGGTGGAAACTGGCTGTAGTAGTTCATTTATCTTTGGTTTAATAAATTGCTTTGTATTATTAAAGTTTCAAAGGTGAGGATTTAATTTTCTGACCCTCGAGTTGATTCTGTTTTTCCTTGGACTATCTTAAGGATTTTGAAACCGCATTTCTAGTAAACATCTAGGGGGCACATGACAGGTTAATTTTACTTATAGGGATTGATTGTATAGGTTTGAGTTGTCTGGTTTTCTTGTATTTTAGGAAGTGAAAAGTTTTTTGCTTGTTCTTTGTAGCTGCTGTTCTACTCCAGAGGTAGAATTGACTCTTCTGGCTTTTGCACTAGCAAGAGGAAGTATTGCCAAAGTGATGAGCTCTCTGTGTACCATCACTGACCACTTGGACACACGCTATGATGCCTCATCTCTCATCTCATCCATGGCATCTGTCAGGCAGAACCTGCTCCTGAAATATGGTAAATGACCTGGGCATGATGGAAATGCTGGCAGTGGAAAATAATAATGCTACCCTTTCCAGGTGCCCTTTGGCCTCTTCTGGTCTTTCTGGATAGTGAGTAGACTGGGTTGTAATAGTGGTATCCTGATCCCTGGATGAGCACATCTTCTGATGACTAGATTTTCTCTAGAACTGGTAGGAGGAAGATATCTATGGGTCATTTATGGCAGATTGGCAGAAGACATCCATGTATCTCCTGATGGTTCTTGGATTTTCTAGTACAATGACTTGGGTGTGGTAGCCATTTTGAGCACGGCCATCTTTGGTGAAGTATAGGTGTGTGTCATCGTGTTGGTAGAGAGACTTGGGAAGTTCTAACTCATTTGGAGGGAGGGAGCTCACTGAGTTCTGGTGCAGGAGGATCATTGCCTCCACAACATAGCTGCTCAGGAACAGTGTATGCCTGCCATTGCTTTCCCTGCCTGGGTCCATCTCAACACTTTGTTGATGACCTAGCATGAGAACCCAGTACATCTCAACCCAGTGCCCATAAAACTGTTCACAGTGATTGCAACTTGGCTGTGAGGAACAACATATTTGCCTTTAGTTGGAAAATTTTCTCCTACTAAGTTCAGTGATTGATCCTGTTCTCTTCAGTATTATAGACATTTCTGGGATATTCCCACCATGGTGTTTGTACAACATAATACAACTTTATGATTTATTTTATGTTTAACTTTTAAAGTCAGACAATTGTCTTATCAATCCATTTTCTCTCTATACTAGCAAAGTCTCTGGAGAAACCGTGAGCCAGGAACAGGCATGACTGGGTGGGAAGTTGAGGTGGCATCTAGAAGCTGAAGTGTTTTTAAGAAATATTAACCAGGGGCTGGAGAGATGGCTCAGAGGTTAAGAGCACTGCCTGCTCTTCCAGAGGTCCTGAGTTCAATTCCCAGCAACCACATGGTGGCTCATAGCCATCTGTAATGAGATCTGGTGCCCCTTCTGGTCAGCAAGCATACATACAGATAGAACACTGTATACATAATAAATAAATAAATCTTTAAAAAAAATATTAACCATTCTTATTGGGGTTGTTGGGACAGGGAGCAGAGGAGAGAGGAAGAGTATGGAGGGGCTGCATATGACTAACAGTGATTAGTTCTGGCTATTCTAGAGCTTAGTGGGTGTTTGCTTTTATTTACTTCTTTATTTAGAGACAGGGTCTCACTATATAGCTTTGGCTGGCTGCTTAATCTGTAGACCAGGTTGGCCTCAAACTTACCTGCCTCTGCCTCCTGCATCCTGAGAGTAAAGGTGTGTGCCACCACATCCAACTTATTATATTATTATAAAACAATTTTTTTAGTTCATTGTAGCAAAATTTGACTTTTTTTTTATTCTTTAAGCTTTCAGATGTTTCCTGCATTTATTTATTTATATTTGTTATTGTTGTATGACATGGGGATGTGCACATATGCCACAATGCCTGTATGGAGGTCTGAGGACAGCTTCAGGGAGTCAGTTCTTTCCTTCCTCCATTAGATTCAGGGATTGACTTCAGCTCTTTAGGTTTGCACTCATTGAGCCATCGCATCACCCTCCTGCAGATAATTTAAAGAAAGAAGAGCTAAAACATTATGTATTTAAATGTGAATCCAATAAAACTGATTTTTTACTTCAAACAATATCTTAGGAATCCTTCCACATGTTTAATATATAGTATTCATCTATATATTGAAATGTACTTTGTTTCTGAAAAGTGATTTTTCTAGACTACTCCTTAAAAGAGTAGTCTGTGCCTTTTCTCTTTCAGGAAAGCACGTAGTGGTAGTATCCACTTTTGTCTACTATTACCATCTTATTTGGCCTTTTATTCATCTATTTAAAATATTTTAAGATTTATTTTTATTACTCTTTAATTATGTGAGTGTAGTATGTCTTTGTTTGGGTATGGTCACATGAGCGCAGACACCCTTAGGGTCCAGAAAAAGGTGTCAGATCCTCAGAACTTAGTTATGAGTTGTGAGCCATTTGATGTGGGTGCTGGGAACTGAGCTCAGGTTCTCTTGGAAGAACATATGTACTCTTAACTGCTGAGACATTTCCCAGCACTTCCTCCCCCAATTTTTTAAAAATTACATTTACATGTGTGTAACATATGTGTGTGTAGGCATGCATGCACTTTGTGAAAGTCAGAAACAACTTGGAGGAGTCAGTTCTTTTCTTCTTGCACTGTGTGGATCCTGAGTTGCAAACTTGGGTCATCAGATTTGGCAGCATCTTGCTGGCCCCTGTTTTGCCTTTTATACAGGTAAGCTTTAGCAGTCTGGGTAGGCATCTATATTGCTACCAATTTCATCTTTTTGTGGACCTAGCTTAAAAATTGCCCTATCTTTTCTTTGGTCAGGTAAACCTCTCCAGTTGACTCTTCAGGCTTGTGATGTCAAAGGGAAAGAAGATAAGTCAGGACCTGAAAACCTCCTTGTGGAGCCATGGACAAGAGATGGTAAGTGCTAGATGGTCTATTGCTAGTATGCACAGGAGGTAGGTATGTGAACTCACACTCTGGCCTTGAAAATTTTCAGATGTTGGTGTTTTTGGTGTGTTGTGAAAATAAAATTTTTAAATGTGTATATTAGTGTTTTGCCTGTGTGTATGTATGTGCATATGTGTGCCTAGTGCCCTAGGAGGCAAGTTTGAGGGCATCATATCTCCTGGAATGGTTGTGAGCCCACATAAGAGCTAGGAACTGAATCAAAGTCAGCAAGTGCTGGTAATTACAAAACCATTTCTTCAGCCCCTAGATGTTAGTGGATTTTGTTGTTTTGAGACAGGGTTTCATTGTGTAGCCCAGGCTAGCCTTTAACTGAAGGCAGTCCTTTTGCTTTAGCTTCCTAAGTACTGGGATTACAGGCATGGGTCACCAAAGATTTAGTCTTCACCTCAGGTTGGCAGCAGTGACTTCTGTACACTCTGGTTTAGCTGTTGCCTAGATGGGTAATGACCTGTAACAGCATTAAGTATTTGACAGCCTGGGGCTGTTCAAAATTGAAGTTTTAAAAAGCAAGGACTCCTCTTCTTGGAATAGAAAAAGTGACTGCATTTTTTTTCTAAGACAGGTTTTTTTCTGTGTAGCCTTGGCTGTCCTGAAACTCACTCTAGATCAGGCTGGGCTCCAATTCAGAGATTTGCCTGCCTCTGCCTCCCAGGTGCTGGTATTGAAGGCATGCACCACCACATTTAATTGTTTTTAAGTTTAAATGGACTTTCTGTTGAGTTGGTTTAAAGTGTTGAGAAAGGCAGTGGGTCCTTATCCCCAAATATCTCAGAGCATCTCTAAGAACATTACAGCTGCTCTGGAATTTGATGTGTTGAAGGCAACCTTTTCATTACTAGTACAAATATATGTTTGTGTGTGCTTCATTCTGCTGTAGGCTCTTTCCCCCACACAGACGTGTTCATGAGCCTTCCCCCCACCTCAGTAGTCTTGATCCATGCTTGCGCATGTCTCTTTTCTATTCACTATACTGCTTTGAATATTACTGATTCAGTAAAGTGGGATGTCCTAGCCCTTCCTGCTGTAGATTTGGTTTGCTGTAGCTTTCCTCGGAGCCTGCAGGCTTTCATTTCTCCAGCATTGTCTCTTCCCCATCCTGTTTCCTGTGTTCATTCTCGGCGCCATTGACACTCCCAGTTGCACTCCTGTCCTTGGTGCACTCCTGTCCTTGGTGACTTTTAAGCAATAGACTTTGTACAAGATGGTTCCTTGCACACCTGAGCCCCTTAGCCTCCTCAAAGAGCTTTCCTTCACTGTATCCATATGTCTTCCTCATTGAAAGTCACAGCAGGCCATTAGCTTGCCTGCCACCAAAAGATGGAGGTGTGATAGGATCTTGGAAAGAGGTGGTGGCAGCTTTTTGCCCCTTTATCATCTCTTCACTTGTCAGAGTCAAAATGACTTTGTAAAAGATCCTCTGCAATTTTCCTCTACTCTAAAGAATCTTAACTTTTGTTTCTGTTATGTGTGGAACTAGCATTTTCTGGCATCAGAATGTGGACTTTTTGGTGTAGTTGTGTTTTGAGAGAAAATCTTGCTGTATCACCCAGGCTGACCTCATGATCCTCCTGTCCTGGACTTCTGTCCTGGACTCCTGTGATTGCTGGGACTACAGGTGTATTCTCTGCCTTATTACAGTATTCTACCCACTGCCTGCTTTTACATTATCCCCCCACCTACTTACAGTACTCCCCAAACTGCTGTAAAGTATCTATCCCTCCATATGCTTTACAGTATTTCCCTCTCCTTTACAATGTGGGTTTTTACCACTGTTCAGTCTGAAAATCTATATACATAGACATCTCTTACCTGTGAGATACTTTTGCTTGCCTTGTCCCTAGCCCCGTTTGAATACTCCCTTATTTTCTCTGGATCTTTCGCCAGCCACCTCCCCTTCCTACTTTCTTTACCTTGGATGGGCGAATTTTTAGATTGGACTATGGCAGGTAGATTTTCTGTTTTTTTGTGGCTTAGGGTGTGGAGTGTGGACAGAAGCCCTCAATTTATCTTAGACACTCCTCACACAACTCTGACTGTCTGGAAACTTGGGCCTGAAGAGCCAGTGCAAGAGGAACACCATTTGTTTTCCCTTTCCCTTAGAACAGTAAAAACTCTCTGATTGGCACACTTCTAGTTTCTCTGTTTAGTATGTTTCAGTTTTGGGAACCCAAAGAAGGCTCAGGGAAGGAATCTTAACATTTGAGGCAGCTGATGTTCCTTAACTTCTGAATGGAAGTTATTGCCACTAATGCTTGGGTCTTTAAAGCATGACTGGCTAATAGGAGCTGGAGGGACAGATGCATTAAATTCTTTAATTCTGTGACTGGTTAAGTTTTTATTTCTGTTATTGGCAGGTAGGGAGCAGCTGGCTGGGCATGGTGGTGCACACCTATAATCTTAGCGATCAGCAGTGTGAGGTAGGAATATCAGATGTTCAAGGCCAGCATAGGCTATATACTATATAATGATAGCTTGTCTCAAAAAAAAAAAAGCTAAATGACAAGACAAGGAAACACAGAGTTAATTTTTAAGTGTATATGCTTATACATGTGAGTATGAGTGTGTGAATGCAGGTATACTGTGCCACAGCAGGCATGTATAAGTTACAGAACAATCTATTTTAGCCTTTACAATATATTCCTTCTTTTAAAAAAAAATAAATTATTTTGGGGATGGAGAGGTGGTTTTGCAGTTAAGAGCACTGTCTGCTCTTGCAGAGGACCTGGGTTCAGTTCTCAGCGCTCATATCAGGTAGACTTAGATCTCCTGTAACTCCAGATCTAGGGAATCTGATGCCCTCTTCTGGCTCTGTGAGCACCTATGTATAGCACACATGTATACATTCAGGCACACACATAAGCACATACAATTAAATGAACTAATAATTAAAATCTTTAAAAGTATTTATTTTGGCCTAGTGTGGTGGCACACCTTTAATCCCACCGAGTAGTGGGAAGCAGAGACAGACAGATATTTGTGAGTTTATGGCCAATCTGGTTTACATAGTGAGTTCCAGGCCTACTAGACTACATAGTGAGACTCTGTCAGGAGGAAGGGAGGGAGGGAGGGAGGGAGGGAAGGAAGGAAGGAAGGAAGGAAGGAAGGAAGGAAGGAAGGAAGGAAGGAAGGAAGGAAGGAAAGAAGGAAGGAAGGAGAAAAGAAGATAGGGAGGAAGGAAGGAAAAAAATAAATCAGCAGGACATGATGGTGAACACGTTTAATCCCAGCATGTGGGAGGCAGAGGCAGACAGATCTCTGAGTTCAAGGCCAGCCTGGTATACAGAACAAAATCCAGGACAGCCAGGGCTACACAGAGAAACCCTGAAACCCAGAAAACAAATGTCTTTATACAATAAATTCCCATAAGTAAGTTCATCCAGAACTCTGGGAACAATTAGGATTGTCTGGGTATATTGCTCTTAAAATTGTGTGTATTTCTGGCATCATGTTTTCTTAAAATTGTAGACAGAATTGTTATTTGATAATATCAGTTGTAGTTTTATGAGTTTTTGCCATTGTACTACTTCTCAGCAATAATAAAATCAGGTCATGTGATGAATTAGTAAAGGTTCCTTTGGGTCCATTTTCTTGGTCTTGGTGATACATTTTTCACATTGTCTTTTGGAAACCCAGTCTATGAATGTTTGTATTGCTAAACACAGGTATGAAGTAAGAACATGGACTTTGGGTGACGGTGGCACACAACTTTAATTCCAGCACTTGGGAGGCAGAGGGCAGGCTGATCTCTGAGTTCGAAGCCAGCCTGGTCTACAGAGCAAGTTCTGGGATGTCAAAGTTGTTATGCAGAAACCCTGTCTCAAAAAACAAACAAACAAAAAACAAAAAAAAACAAAAAGAGAGAGAGAGCATGAACTTCATTTCAGTGTTTTGACTTTCCGGGAGGATGACTGAAAGCAGGTTAGGGTCCCAGGTCAGAGGAATGTTCATGTAGCACTGACTTGAGCATGTCCTTGCATAGCACAGCTGCATGTTGTGTCTAGCAGCAGATCTTTGTGTGAGTTAAGAGACAAAAAGGCAACCAAAAAAGGTGTATGACTTTCATACAACTGTAAATGAATATGTCAGACTTTTTAATGAAGTAAGAAATTATTAAGCTATTATCAATAGTAAAAGGGAAAATTCATAAAAACACACAAAGACCAATAGAAAGGAATGTTGGAATTTGCTTACAATTAATAATCAGCTATATTTATATAGAATTTTTATTTCTTTTTTTATTTTTATTTCTTTGTACAAAAATCACTTGCATTCCCTCAATATCCAGTTTACAGAATTGTAAAACAGCTTAGAGACAGGAAAAGCTGGTGATAACTCAGACTGTGTTCGACCAGATACCCAGTAATCCCCTTCCCGTTTCATTGTCTTTCATAATCTTTTCTGACAGAATGTTTTAGAAGCTGGCTAATCTTTTTTTCCAGCTGCTAAAACCTACTTGTCTTTTGTCAGCCCAGTGAAACTTTAGTCATGGCTTTAGGGGTGATTCAGGAAGGGGATTGATCCTGCAGTTTTCTGTCTCTTTGATTTAAAATCACCATCTGAGGAGATAGTACCGTGGGGGGGAGGTTAGCTAGTGCTCTTATTGCCTAAGGCTTTTTGCAGGGGATGGAGGTGTTGGGGAAGGAGCCATATCTGCCCCAAGAGGTATTGTTTTTCTAATTGTCACAAACGTACAGCTAGGCCAGTTATCCTTGTTTTGGTTGATTCTTGATATTAGGACTAAAAATGACTCAGACATCTTAACTTTTTCCCCTTTTTCTTAGGTTTTCTTACAGAGACTGGAAAAACCAGAGCAAGTACTATTTTTTCTGCAGGAACTGAGTCTGCCTTTCAAGTCACACAGATCAGAATTATGGTAATTCTCCTTCTACCATCTTTAAGTAGTGGTACTGCTTTTTAAAAGTGAATTAGGGTCTGGGGAGATAGCTTAGCAGTTAAGGGCCCTGGGTGCTCTTCCAGAAGACCTGTGTTCCATTCCCAGCACCCACATGGTAACTCACCATGTGGTATCAAGCATGTCTGGTGCAAAGACATATATGCAGGCAAAATACATACATAAAATAAGAAGAAATTTTAAGTGAATTGAGTTGGGTAGTAGTGGTACACTCCTCTAATCCCAGCACTTAGGAGGTAGAGGCAGGTAGGTCTCTGGATTCAAAGCCAACCTGGTCTATAGAGTGAGTTCTGAGACAACTAGGGCAAAACACAGAAACCCTGTCTTGGGGAGAGAAAAAAGTGATTTGGGTTATGTTTCCAGAGGGCCTTGCCTTTTATTGGGTGTGCAGTGAATATTTTCCTCTTTCTCCATCCTCTAGCAGAGGGCGGGTGGACAAATTTGGATCGACTTATAAGTTTTTGAATGGTGTGACTGTAAGGATGGAGGAAGCCATGCTAACTAACATTTTGTAGGACAGCTTGCTCACCTTCCAGGACATATATGTTTGAATACTGCTTCAATGGCTTTACTGTGCTGTAAGCTATTGGCATTTAACCATATCAACTGTAGATAAAATAGCCACAGAATTTTTGCCTCTGTTTCCAGGTTCGCCGTGGTGGCATTGGTGCCCAGTGTGGGCTAGTATTTGCTTATAACTCACCTTCTGAGAAGTTCCATGCAGAAGAACACTTCAAACGGTTTGAAAAATATGACAAATGGAAGCTCCAGGAACTGAGACAGTTTGTAAAAAGCAGGTACAAAACAGAGGGAAATCCCATGTGGTCAGTAAGGATGTATTTGTTCTCTTTCTGGGCGTGGAGATGTATGCCTCTAACCCCAGTGTTTGGGGAGCAGAAGCAAGTATCTTTGTGAATTTGAGGCTAGCCTGTTCTATATAGTGAGTTCTAGGCCAGTCACCACTACATATGAGGACTCTGTCTTAAAAAAAAAAAAAAAGATGTATTCTTATTGTCGTCAAATTATGCTTATAGAAAGGTACCAGTAAACTCACCATAGAGGCCAGAGGCCTTTGTTATTTTCTAAAAGCATTTGCAAAGAGGGTGTTAATTTGTTCATAATTTCTTACTTGGCCCTTTCTGTGACAAGGGTCATAGGTCTTCAGAATGGCTGGGGAGTGATACATGCCTTACTTGGCAGCAGCGTGAGTTTCACCTGACAGCTGGGAAATTTATCCTGCCCTAAACCCTTCTCCTGCCATTCAAGCTTTAATTTTTTTAAAAATTATTTTTAGATTTATTTATTTAATGTATGAATGTTTTAGGCGTGTATGCATCATGTATGTGCATGGTGCCTTTGAAGGTCAGAAGAGCACACTGGATCCATTAGAGCCAGAGTTCTTAATGATTGTGAGCCATCATGTAGTGCTGGGACTGGATCTAGAAGAACACATGCTATAAATTCTGAGCCTTCTCTCCAGCTGCACGTTTCAAACTTTCATTAAAAATGTTTATTAAGGATTTATTGTGCCAACCTGATGCATTGAAGATCCTGCAGTGGAGAAAGTACTAGAGGGGGCACTGCAGGGACTACAGAGAGTTTCCTGCAAGGAGACAAAGTCAACTGTAATGAGTGTGACGCAGGAGATCTGGCAGCAGAAGGCAGGCCTCACTTGGGAAATGTAACTCTGAGCCAGTGAACAATGCTGTGCTGTTTCTGAAGAGTGAGTTACACACTAAGTAGCTGCTTGAAGAAGTAGTGGGTAGCTTGAGCAGAGAGTAGAGTAGGCACCATGGCCCTGAGGTAGAGTATGGCATAGTGAAGGATCTGGTGGTTATGTGACTGAGCTGCACTGTCGAGGAGAGCATGAGGGACAGAGCTGGAGAGCTGAGGGAGGCCAGTTCGGTGGAAGTGTCTTTGTTTCAGGTCTTAGTGTATATTCAAAGCACGTGTGTGTGATGGGTGGGGGAGGCAAGCAGGCAGAGGGTAGAACATGTTATGGGGCAGTTAGAGGAAGATGAAGGAGGTCACATATATGTTCTAGAAGAACTAGTTAAGCGTGTGCTGCAGCTCCGTGGATGGAGGAAGACAAGCATAGAGGCAGGGGCTGGGAGGAGGTAAAAGTGGCCTCGACCAGCATAACAACCTTTGTAGCAGCAGCAGTGGAGCAAGGTGGCCTGATGCGGTAGGGCTTGGGGATAACTGACTAGCAAATGGAAGAGAAAAGAAGGCTTAGGCAGCACTGAGTTCACGGTGTGGGTCATAGTCAGGTGGGGAACTTGGTAGTGCCTTTCTCTAAAATAAAAAATGCCCCAGGGAGAAGCAGGTTTATGGGAGGGTGGTGTGCATACTGTTAGTCCTGCTGGGAAGACTTAGATGTGTTATAACCAGTAGGACAAACAGGTCAGCACCCTAGAAGAGACAGGCACGACAATCTTTGACATGGTCATTAGAAATACTGAATCCAGGTGTGGTGCCTCATGCTTTAATCCCAGCATTCAGGAGGCAGAAGTAGGATTTCTGAGAGGCCAGCCTGAACTACAGGTTGAGGCCTTGTCTAAAACAAATCAAACTAAATGAAGACATGGAGATAAAAGAGATGGCTCTAAAGGACTGTGGACTAGGAAGACATAGGTTTCCTTGATAAATAGCACTAGTTAAGAGACAGCAAAAAAAAAAAAAAAAAAAAAAACCTCAGAGAATAGGGGGCAAGCCAGGCTATACCCTTAGAAATCAGGGAATGAGTGTGGTGTCAGTTGTTAAGATAAAGACTTAAAGTGGACGAAGTCACAGAGGCTTTTGGTGACTCCTGATAGTGTTGCCTTCCTATTGCTGCTAAAGTTAGAACTTGTAGATCAGAGCCTTGGATTTACTGCCTATGCTCTTATATTTCCCAAGGTTAACAGCAGTCCTAAAATATTGCCCAATACGTGCTACTTAGGCATGATTGCGCATACAAATCACCTGTGAAAATACAGGTCTAATCCAGTAGTTATGGGAAGGACATAAAACTCTTCCTCTTCTTTTCTTGTCCCCATCTTCCTTTGTTTTTTGGGTTTTTTTGGGGTTTTTTTTGTTTGTTTGTTTGTTTTGTCGGTTGGTTTTGGAGTTTTTGGGGTTTATTTGCTTGTTTGGTTGGTTTGGTTTGTTTTTTCCGAATAGCCCTGGCTTTTCTGGAACTTGTTCTATAGACCAGGCTGGCTTCAAACTCATTCAGAGATCTGCCTGCCTCTGTCTTCCAAGGTTTGGGATTAAAGGTGTGTGCCACCACTGCCTGGCTGTTGGTTTGGTTTTTTGAGACAAAATTTTATTAGTCTAGATAGCCTAAAACTCATTATGTAGCCCAGGCTACCCTGGAACTTGTGGCAGTCTTTCCTGCCTCAGCTTCCTGTGTCCTGGGCCTATCTACCACCACACCTAGCGTAGTTTCTTTTTTAATAATGGCTACAGGTGCCACCTAATTTTAAGCAGCCATGTTCTCACTCTTGGGATATTAAAATAGGTCTTTTCCTCTAAATTTTCTGTCAAACAAGAAATCTTATACAGAATGAATTTTTTTAACCTAAATACAAACTTATTCATAAATCCCTTAATGATTTGATCTGGTTCTAGCATGAGTTATTCTTCAATATAGGCCAATTTTTGGCCTACATATATAATCAGCTTCTCTCCTTTGGGAAATAAAAATGTCTTGCCTGTTATGTTCTCCTAGCACTCTGCTCCCCAGTCAGCACCTGCTGCTGTAAAGTGTGGTTTAGTGCGAGCGCTTGCTTCTGTAGTCCCTGACTTTTTGCTGGCTTTCTACATTGCAGAGTTCCTTCAGGACACTTTCTGCCAGGCATGGTGGTAGGGGGACAGGAATACAGCCAAGGGTGGAACCAGGTCTCACATTTTCTAGGCAAATGCTATGCCACTGAACTATATCCCTTGCCCTTAAAGGATACATTTAAAATTCCTCAAACATGTGTTATGGATGAGACTCACTGGCATTTAGAGCTTAGCGAATCCTATCTGTTCTGTTGTGGTCAGTTGTATGACAGAAGATTTCTACCAAGAAAGACCTATGTGAGGAAGAGAGCAAAATTTTTCCTTTGTTCCAGAACTTATTCTGTGTTTTCTTTACTTTTCCCTGCAGTTATATGTGGTTGCTTGTCATGTTACACAGAACACTTCTGTGCTGTTAGTGTGATAGCTGAGTCATAGGCCAAGTAGTGTGAGGTTTTAATGGAACTTGAAGCCAGACGTGGTGGCTTTTAATCTCAGCATTTGGGAGGCAGAGGCGGGCAAATCTCTTATTAGTTCAAGGCCAGCCTGTTCTACAAAGTGAGTTTTGGGGTAGTCAAGGCTACCATAGTAAAACTATCTCAAACAAACAAACAAACAAGAATGGTATTTAAGAAGAATGCCTACTCCTTAGTTAGTTACTTAATTGTTTAAGAGGGAGCAGCATTTACCCATCTGGCTTTAAAGAGCAGCATGCAATTATCCATTAGCTTTAAGGATAGAATGCTTCCTTCGGAGGACTTGCTAATTAACAGGGGCCTGTGAAGGCTGAGATTTTCCTGTTGAGAGCTATAGGATTGGAAGCATTTACCCTTCAACTGTTTGTACATGGCTCAAACCTCAGGCTAGTCATGTACAAGTTTGCCAGACTTAGGGAAGGGAAGCCCCTCCTGCCTCTCCATTTTCAGAGGTACCCATTTTGGTGCATCACTCCTGCATCTCACTGGAAATGCCTGGGTTAAAAGTCATTTAGTTGAGGCCTTATCTATCAGGCTCTGAAGAAACTTAGGAAAGTAGGAAAATGTTTATAGCTGGGCAGTGGTGGTGCACATCTTTAATCCCAGCACTCGGGAGGCAGAGGCAAGCGGATCTCTGTGAGTTCGAGGCCAGCCTGATCTACAGAGCAGGTTTTTAGGACAGTCTCCAAAGCTACAAAGAAACCTGGTCTCAACAAAACCAAGAAAATGTTTATGATTACACTTGTATTCACAGAATTGGTTGCTCATCTGATGACCTTGGAGAGGATGATCCCATTGGCTGGTTTGAGCTGGAAGAAGAGTGGGACGAAGCTGATGTCAAGTTACAACAGTGCAGAGTTGCCAAAGTAAGCAGTAGCCAGTTGCTCTTCGCTCATTCACCTGCTCTCCCCTTCTACAAACACGGCTGACTGCACCAGCCCTGAGCCAACCCGGGAACCTTAGAGGGCATGGGAGAGGCAGATGTAATATTATTCTGTGACAAAGGGAGATTTAACCCACCAATTTAACATCACCAATGGGATGATTCAGTGGTAAAGGTGCATGCTGCCAAGCCTGACACCTGAGTTTGATCCCAAATCCTTTAGTTTGTCCTCTGACCTCCACAAGCACATTGTGAGATGCATGTGCCCACACACATGAAATAAATAAATAAAATGTAAAACTATAAGTAAGAAAGGACAACAAGGCCTTTATAAAAGGAATTTTCCCGTTAAGAAGCAGTTTGTACCAAAGCTGAGCTTCCAAAATGCCTTTGCTCTGTTTGCACAGACAAGGCCATTCCTTTTCTTCCGTGTGAGCTGCACATGCTGGTTGAGAACCTGAAGTGAGTCCCTCTGGCATTGACTGTTTTCATCAAAATATCTGTTTTTAGCAAGACTAATTCTCTCACTTCTACCTGGTTTTTGCCTTTCAGAAAGCATTGCTCTTAGTATGATTCCTACAGAACTTGACTTAGTGCTTGTGTTCTTTTTTTCTGTTGGCTGAAGATACCACTTATTTCGTGTCCCCAGTATTGGGTATGGTGACACTTTATAAAAAAATGCTTAGTAAAACCAGGAGGGATTTTCCTAAAAAGGCCTCTCAGTCCTCTTTCATTGCACTTAGGGATTCCAGTTCCTTCTCTGAGTTCTCTTTTATCCTTTCTAGTACTTGATGGTGAAGTTCCTCTGCACACGCCAGGAGTCAGCAGAACGTTTGGGTGTACAAGGCTTGAGTATCAGTGGGTACCTCCGGCCTGCAAGGGCAGAAGCTGAACAAAGTATCCTCTATGCCCATTGCAGAAAGGACACAGAGAATATCTATGGGGCCACCCTGCTCCTCAGGACTCTGCAATTCATACAGCAGCTCGCCCAAGACCTGGTAGGGTTTTTTCCATTATTGTACAATGTTCCTCCAGGAGACATGAATGACTGTGTTAAGGGAAACAGGCATCTTTAAAACTTGACCTTTCTGAAGCGATGGCAATATTAGTGAGCACAACAGCTCTCATACTTCATAATAATACAAAAAGGCTGGGCAGAGTGGGTTCTGTGGCACCAGTCTGTAGAATACTACATGGCATGTGGCACTTGTGAGGTTGCCTGGAGTAGACCTGCAGGCACATGGTTCTGTGCCTACCTGTGCTTGTGCAGGGGCAACAAAGCAGCATCACGGGATTTGTTCTTTAAGTCTGAGAATTACTTCTCAAGTCTAGAGGTGAATTTCTTTTATTAAATGTATTAACTGTCAGGTTTTGAGTTTGAAATAATTGGGGTTTTGATGCTGATTTTTACAATTACTAGTAAATCACAATATCAATTCACTCAAGGGAATCTTACTTACCATGGAGTGCTTGGCTAACTTCAGGGGAGCCCTCATGTGTGTGCAGCAGTGTCCACCCTTAGCTTTCTTTGTCTTCAGTGCACAAGAAGCTGTTGAGCTGTGCACATATGGCGTCTGGGTCTGTGTCAGCTAAGAACTCTTACCAGGTCAGGTGGTGAAGATGCCTGCCTTTAATCCCAGCACTCAGGGGGCAGAGGCAGGCAGATTTCTGTGAGTTCAAGGCCAGTCTGGTCTGCAGTGCCAGTTCCAGGACAGGCTCCAAAGAAACCCTGCGTCGAAAAACAAAAACAAACAAATGAAAACAAAAAAGAACTCTTATCAGAGCAGAGTAAAGAGAAAGGCCTAGGAGTAGTAACTAGGTTACAACAGAAGTGCAGCCCACAAGTAGGGAAGTCAAGTACATTGTAGGACAGTCCTGGGCATCATTATCATGTAAACCTTTATGTATGTGTTATGAAGATAGAGAGCCTGCGTGGCCATGTGTACGTTAGTGTCATAGTTATCTGTGTTTGCACACACACAAACACAGTTTGTTGTCTAAGTTGTGTGGGAGTTTCACTCAGGTGGGTTATCTCATTTCTTAACCATGACAAGTAAGTGAGACATCCCAATATTTCTCTAAATATATTTTTAATTTTACTTTTTTTCTGGTCTTTATTTTTTTAGGTGCAGCAGAAGGAAAGTGGCTTAAAATATAAGTCTTTCCTGGACTTCACGGGTCTTGATTTGCAGATCTTCTGGAATTTTTACAGTAAATTAAAGCAAAAGTAGGTCAGAATTTGTTATAAAGTAACAATCATAAAAAAGCTGAAATGGATATTCTTTTTATCTATTTTTTGTATGTATTCGTTTGATTTGAAATATTTGATTGTTGAAAATGGCACCTCAGATTTCTATAAAATGTTTAGGAAATATTTCCTCAAACATTTCCTTATTGATTGTCCTGCTAGTATAAGCAGGCCAGGCATTATCATGATGCAAGTTGAGCATCTCCTATCCAAAATCCCAAAATTGGGAAAACTGTTTGTATGCCACAAGTGGAAAATTTCATATCTCACTTCATATCACGAATCACAGTCAAATGCAGCTGAGCTAAAACTATTGTGTGGCTGGGAGTCATAACCCCGCAGCATAGTGCTAACTTACCATGTGCAAGGTCCTGGCTTCAGTCCTAGTGACAGAGTGCTTGCTAAGCATGCACAAGGCCCTGGCTTCAATCTGCAGCACTGAAAAAAAATGCATAAAAAAGTTGTATGCAAATGAATTTCATTTAAAAAAATCACTCACTTATTTATCTATCTACTTCTTTATTTTGTGTGTGTGTGTGTGTGTATGAGTTGGTGCTCATGAGGGTGGATATGTGGACCTGTGTGTATGTGAGGGCCAGAAGAGGGCATTGGATATCACTTTTTTTTTTCTTAGCTAGGCTGAAAGCCAGTAAACCCTAGAAATCCTCCTGTCCCTGGTGCCCCACTTCCTCCCCGAACACACACACACACACACCTTGGATCTGGTTTACTGAGCTCACAGGGATGCCTAGCTTGTTACACAGAACTGAAATGTGAATGTCAGTCAATTCTTATGGTTGTGGAGCAAGCCATCTCTCCAGCTCCATGAATTTCATATTCACACTTGTGTCCCGACTCCAAGAGAGCTCCCTCTACCCCACCTTCCCTCCTCTCCCTCTCCCCCCCCCTTCTGCTCACCTCCCCTCTTTCCTTTTCCCTCTCTGATGCATGCATGCATGTGCCAATATTCCAAAATCATGAAAAAGAAATCCAAAGTTTGAGGCTCAAATGTTCTGATCTCAGCTTTTTAGATAAAGGACATGATTTGTCTCCTCATTTTATAGGTGAAGAAACAAATCACAAATATGCTTCCTTCCCCAGTGGGCAGTCAGACAGGGTCTGTTTCCAGGTGTCTGGTGGTGTTCCTTTACTGAACCTGATGGCTTGAGGGAAATCCTTTGTAGACAGCTACATAGCTTTGGAGGGTGAAATGAACCTGCCTTTCTGCTCTCTGATGTTCTTTGTCTTCTGAAGCCCAAGAGAAGAATGCATCTGTGCACAGACCCTGCTGCTGCAGCTTCTGCAGAGCTGCTTCTCAGTGCTGCAGAGTGACCCACCAGCTGCCTCTGAGGAGGAGAAACCTGCAGCACAGTGCCCTGAGGGAATGCAGGCTGCCAAGGAGCTCTACACACACTTATGTGATGGTAGGGACTGGGGAGTGCCTTGAATGTGACTTTGTACTGGTGACCACTTGGCTATAGAAGTGTGAGGGGTCCAGTGACCATGTGAGCCAGAAAGAGATTGTGGGACATGAACCTGCCTGCCTTCCTTCCTCCCTCCCTCCCTCCCTCCCTCCCTCCCATTTTTTTTTCTTTCTTTTTTCTTTGAGAATGGGTTTTATGTATCCCAGCTGGCCTCCTACTCACTAAGCACTTGAGAATGACCTTGAATTTCTGATCTTCCTATCTCTGCTCTTGGGTACCAGAATTATAAGCAAGCATCACTACACTGTTTTATGTGGTCCCTGGACCCATAAACCCAAAACATCATGAAACTAGGCAAGTGCTCTGCCAACTGGTTTATATCTCTAACATACCAGGAGCATTTTGTTTGATGCCTTTTGGATTAGTGTTTTAGATTGAGGGTTTGTTCTTTTACAGCCAACTTCCTGCTATTTTCAGGTACAGTTCTATTATATTGAGGGTACTCACTATCACACTGTTAAATCTTAACACTGGGATTGGGCCAATAGATTGAGAGTGAGAGATTGTAATAACAGATCGAGGATGAAACACTTGCCACACCTAAGAGTACTTTTAAGGCTTTGCCAAGAGTGTCTCAAGAGAACAGACAAAGACGTAAAAAACTTGTTTGTATAGTCTTTGTTTTAGTTACATGTAAAGAAAAGCTAAATTACTTACACTGCCTAACCTATACACAGAAATAGCTCACTTTGATACAGAGCACAACATGGAAAATAGTGAATTTGTCATCAGTTATAGCAGGTTAATTAATGGACAGGTGGAATGTGGTAGAGCTGACCCATTGTTCCTTTTCATTAGTGGTAGATAGAGCTGATGGAGATTCTGTGCCCATGGAGATCCTAAAGCAAGAAGTCAGGAACACCCTTCTCAATGGGGCTGCCATTTTCTTTCCTGATCGTCAGACCCGGCGGAACCAGCTCTTCACCATGATGGTAATTATGTACCAAAAGTGTGGATCCCATTACTGAATTAGTCTTTATCTTCTCTAAATACACGACAGTGTTTTCTGATGCCATCACTATCCGCAGAGCTTTGTGTGAGCTTTTGAAAGACATGTGCTGTCCTCAATCTAGATCCACACCTTGTCTTCTTCTTAGTCACAGTGGAGTTTCCACCCTTATGACTTGGCTACAATAAAATCTTCTTACCTTTTCTTTCCCAAAAAGAAGTTAAAGCAATTAGAAGAAAATTATAAAAAAAAAATTAAAGCAGTAATATAGTGAATCCTTGTCACTCAGGCTAACCTTATTTCATCTGTGATATACCTCACTCACTTTTCAGTTCTCCCACCTACCTAGTGTCATTTTGAAGTCATTCCTGACTTATTTATTTTATTTATAACTAGCTCAATAGATGACTTTCAAGAAAATATAGCCAAGTTTTAAGAGAACCTCAGTTAGTTCTTCCTGACTTCTTAGGGCCTTGCTCGATGTTACTCAGATTCAGTACCGTGGTGAAAGGTGCTTTTTGTAGTTAAAAGCACTGCCAAGCAGCACCTTTTATACCAAGACTCCCCCATTTGTTTGCTGGAAGCATTCATCAGGTAGCTGAATGAATGATTAGTTGTTGAGGTTGTTCTTAACGTGTTCCTCACATGAAACAGGAGACATCTGACTACTTGAATGGTGTGTCTGTGAGCAAAGCAGCCTTGTCTCTGTTCATTCCTTCAGAAAGGGATCAGGTTGCTTTTTTTCTTCACACTTTGGTGAATTAAACAGCCCTGCTAATTTTATGTTGCCAAACAATTCTCTTCAGGTAACTATTTCTTGTGCCCCTCTTATGTTCCCAATGTTATCTTCTTATGTTCTGTGCCTAGCAGAAGCTTACGTCTTAAATTCTCTGAAATCTCCCTCAGTGCCTTTTCTAGAAAGAAGTGTTCAAGGGCTGGTGACCCTTGTCAACTTGACTCATAAACATGTCACTGTAAGCCGTAACATGTCCTTTCTTGTTCAGCTCCAAGGTCACACATGAATATCAACATTACAACAATAACTTTTCAAATTTTAAAAGTCCCACAGTCTTGAAAAAGTCAGTCTCTAAAATATGCAGTCTCTTTTAAAATCCAGTATTTGTAAAGGTCCAAATGTCTTTAAAAATTAAAAGTTTCTCAACTGTGGATGCCTGTAAAATAAATTAAATACAAGAATAAGTTAAATACTGTCTTACTTCAAGAGAGAAGAACCAGGGCACAGTCACCATCAAAACAAAGCAAAACCACTTTCCAAGTGTGTATAAATAGCTCAACGTCCAATTCTGCTACTCACTCACAGTCTTCTGGGCTCCTCCAAAAGGCTTGGGTCACTTCTCTGGCTCTGCCGCCTGCAACACACATAGCTTGTCTCCTAGGCTCAGGCTGGCTCTGCTTCATACCTGTTGCTGTCATTGATGGTCATCCCATAGTACTGGAATCTTTTAAGATACTGGAGTCTCTTGTTGCAACTGGGCTGCACTTTCACCGATAGCCTCTCCTAGACTCTCTTCATGGTGCCAAGCCTCAGCTTCTCTCCATGACCCCTTCAGTTTGGGTCTTTAGCTGCTACTGAGGCTGCACTTTGTCTAGTAACCTTTCCTGGCTTCTCACAGTGCCAATCCTCAGTTGTTCTCTGTGACTCCTTCATGCCTTCAAAACCAGTACCACCTGGGTGATTCTTATATATTACTAAGTTTGGTTGCCAGTGTGAGGTACAATCTTGACTGCCTCTGGAACACAACTTCTGTGTGCTGACTTTGAGGGAACACTTCCTAGAAGATTTCACCCCAATGATGCTGGTCTTTTCTCTTAATCACTGCTAATTCCCTAACCCCAGCTGATCAGTGTCAATTGTCCAAGGAAAGCAACAGTTTTAGTTTAGTGGTTCTGGTCTCTTTGTTACTCACAGCTGATTCTTCAACCGCAGCTAATCAGAACCACAGATTCTTAATTTAGAATATGCAATGGTCCTACTAGATTCTCAAACTTCCCACTGGAACTTCACAAGCCACGTGTCCATCATCTGCACATCTCTCTGATCTTCCAAGCTCCCATAGAATAACTGACCAAGCTCTGAATACTCAGTGGCTTTTCTGGCCCAGAGTTCCATAGTCCTTCTACAGTCCTCACAAAACAACGTGGTCAGGTCTATCACAGCAATACCCCATGATCCTGGTACCAGTTTCTGTCTTAGTTTGGGTTTCTGTTGCTATAATGAAAAACAATGACCAAAGCAACTTAGGGAGAAAAGGGTTTATTTGGCTTAAACTTCCACATCACTGTTCATCTTGAAGGAAGTCAGGACAAGAACTCAGAGCAGGAACCTGGAAGCAGGAGCTGATGCAGAAGCCATGGAGAGTGCTGTTTATTGGCTTAGTTGGATGTTATGAGATGGTCCAGTGGGTGGTGGTGTTCTGTACTGCTCTAAGGTCTTAAGAATGTTATGGAATCGATTTTCTAAATGTACAGTTTCTGGTTTCCTAGAAGAATGTCACTGAGCACGAACACAAGCAATCTCTGCAACTCACTTTCCGTTCACTCTGCACATATTTTAGGTAAGTTTACTTCTCTTTATATGTCGAGTACTTTGAATCTTTGCAAAATTATTGTTGTTATTATTTTAGATATTTCTTGATTCTCATGTCTTTGGAATTGTGATTTCTCTGCTAATCTAAAATGATCAGTTTCTAAGTTCCTCCTAGGTATAAGAGTGACTGGAATAGTGCTGTACCCCAAATCCTGTCATTATAAAACCAGTTATAGCTGGGCCCTTGTGGATTATTTTCTGAGTGCTTCAGTTTGTAAGGGAATTTTATTATTTTTATTTCAAGATTTATTTACTTATTATATATATAGTGTTTTGCCTGCATGTATGCCTGTAGGCCAGAAGGCACCAGATCTTTTTATAGATGGTTGTGAGCCAGCATGTGGTTGCTGGGAATTGAACTCAGTACCTTTGGAAGAGCAGCCAGTGCTCTTAACCTCTGAGTCATCTTTCCAGCCCTCTAAAGGAATTTTTTATTAATGATTTTTATGACTTTTAATAGATTTATTTATTTTATCTTAATTGAGTCCTTCATCTGCATGTATACCTTTATCCCAGAAGAGGGCACCGTGTCTCATTATAGATGGTTGTGAGTCACTATGTGGTTGTTGGAAATTGAACTCAGGACCTCTGGAAGAGCAGCCAATGCTCTCAACCTCTGAGCCATCTCTCCAGCCCTCTCAAAGGGAATTTTAAAGACAAAAGCTATAATTAAAGGAGGTTCAGGTCTTATATGTAAGTCTACAGACCCAACCACTTAAAAACTGACTGCAATTCAGTATAGTGGTACGTGCCTGTAATTCTAGTATTCAGGCAACAGAGACAAGAGGATTTCTGGGAGTTTGAAGCCAACCTGGGCTACATACTTAGTGAATTCCAGGTCTGCCTAGACTACATAGAAAAGCCCTGTCTAAAAAAACAAAAACGAGGGCTGGAGAGATAGCTCAGTTGGTAAAGTGTTCAAGAAGACTTGAATTTGAGTTCAATCCCCAGAATCCACACTAAAAAAAAAGAAAGGAAGGAAGGCCATGCATGGTGATATGACTTGTAATCCTAGTGCTAGACTAAAACAGGTGTTTCCCTAGGGCTTGCTGGCCAGGCAACCAAGGTGCCAGGGTGGCAAGTCCCTTGCCAATGAGTGGCCCTTTCTCAAAGTGGAAAGTTCCTGAGGAACACTATACAAACAATATACAAGGTTATCTTCTGGCCAACACGTAAACACATGTGCGCATGTGCAAAAGCATGGAATAGTAGTTTGCAGAAAGAAGAGAAGCAGGAATGGGAGAACTTGAAGATGTGTTGTTCTTGAAGATGCTAATAGATTTACATAAAATATAATGGACCATGCAGTTTGTCTTTTGGACCCCTGACATTGAAATCTGTCTATATTCTTTTTGGAACCTTAAAGGTAGAAAACCTGTTGTAACCAGATGTTTGACAAGTTTGTATCCTTTCAGTGATAGGGATCCAGGAGGTCTTCTACTTTTACCTGAGAAAAGTGACCTGGCCAGCATAAACACCAGTGAAGTCCTGGCAGTCATGAACACCCTCCTGTCTGTTGCTGCTCGAGAGGTACCTAGTGACAGCCACCTGTTGTCTTTACTTCCTGCTTTCAGGAACATAGTTAGCCAGCTGCTGTGCCCTCCTTGTAGCCCTTCGTTTACAATATGATTATACTTTGGTATTGACTGCTTCACATGGACACAGAGGTTCCTAGCCAACCCCTGCAAACAAAGTAGGGGCTTTTTGTTTACTTCAGCAAGAAGTAAAAACGTAACAGTGCTTGGTTGCTAAGACTTCTGTGAGCAGAGGCTGGAGTCATTAAGTTCCTCAGTGAGTACTGCTCAGTGAGCCCAGCAAGACCTGATTTTTTTTTTTAAACTGCGTTGATTTTTTTGAAAACTTAAGATGAGTTCATGAATTTTTAGCCCTGTCCACTATGATGCTATGATCTCTTTATCTTGTGTTGGTGATATATTTTGTGCTTCTCATAGTGCAGCCTATGCTGCTCCCAGATAAGCATTGCCTGATAGAAATATGGTTTCCAGGCCCTACCCCATACTGCTGATTGCAAAATGCTTAAACAGTTTTACCAAGCACCCAAGAGTAGGAGAAAGGAATTTGGAAATGTAAAGTTCAGAATAACTTATCTTGTATCTTGTGGTTTAGTGTCTTTAGGTCTATTTGTTTGTTTATTTATTGATTGATTTATTTATTTTTGGTGCTTTTGGTTTTTCATACAGTCTCATCTATCTTAGACTAGCCTACCCAGAATGACTTCAAAGCTATGATTCTTCTGCCTCCATCTCCTGTGTGCTTTGACTGTAGATGACGTGTACCACTATACCCAGTTTTTACAGTACTGGAATGAAATGTGGGGTTTCATGTATGTTAGGCAATTGACATACCAACTGAGCCACATTCCTGGCCCTGAACTCCTCCAGTTGTTAGTGTTTTCCTGTTATCAAGTTGTTGATAGAGCGACCCACAGTAGTGGGCTAGTGAGCAGTTCTGCTATTTCTCTTGTAACCCTTACAGAGCATGTAGGCTAATTAAGTCACCAGTGGTCACAGGCCCACTGAGACTGACCATTGTTTAGCTACCATGTCTTCAAACTAACATGACTTCTGCATTACATTAATTCTTTGTTTTTGACTTTGTGCTTCCTGTCATGTTTCTGGACTCCTTTGCCCTTCTCTGAGTCTTCCTTATAATGTTCACTCTAACTACTTCTTATCAACATGTGCTCTTCACCCTAGTTGGCCACTGTTCATTCTAGTCTCCATCTTTGTTTCTGCTATTCCCATGCCTTGAAGCTTATTGCCATTCTGTATGTTTCTCAAGTGCAAGTCTATCTGAGCCCTCCCTGATCCCTCTGCAGTCACATGCTGAGGTAGAAAACTTCAGGGATTTCACTGGGCTTCACTCTTGCTGGTTGTGCTTCCTGTGGGAGGAGTTGCTAAATGCTGGAGCCAGGACTAAAATCTGGAGCACTCTGTCTTGTCCTCTTTCCACAGGGTCACACTTGTAAGCTAACTAGAGAAATGAGGTGGCATTTGTGTCAAGAGATTTCCCATAAGCCTTAGCACTTGGAGATCAAGTGCTTATCCTGTCAGCCATCTCTCATCTGAACACAGGGGACATTAGAGCTGCACTGAAGCTCCTCGGCAGAGATCATTCAGCCACTAACATAGTCCCCTCAGATACTGGTGATTAGACAAAAGAGGTAGAGTTGGATTAGGAAAAAGTGTAAAAGTGGTCAGAACTGCTTGCCTGAACGTTTTCTCCTGAGTTTATTAAGCCACCTGTATCCACTGGATGCCTGCTGTGTACAAGGCCCTGTTCCAGGCACAGGGGATCTAGTGATAGAGGAGCCCAGTCTGGAGAGCAGATGACATGTGATGGCATCGATCAGACACTTCTCACTATGTAGTCATGCTGTGAGAGTGGGCATGTGGTCCTGGGAGAGGCCAGAGGAGTTTAGAAAAGGCTGAAGAAGGTGGTGCTGGAACCTGGGAGAGACATAAATGTCTAGCAGAGAAGATGGAGGCAGTGTAGGTTGAGAGAGCCTGTGGAGATGGGAAGGAACAGGCGCTTGAAGAGAAGCAATGAGTGGACTCTGGACAGGTAGAGCCTTCAGGCGGTGAGATCCAGCTGCACACTGCAGAAAGGAGTCGATGCTGGGGATCATAATGTAAAACACACTGATGGTAGTTGAAGCTGTGGCTGGACAGCTGGGCAACTGGAGGACAGCTGCAAAGAAAGGACAGTTGGAAGAACAGGAAAGATCGTGGGCAAGATTTCAAGAGAACTGCAACTCAGGGAGGAGGAAAAGAAGTGAGGGCAGGGTGAACAGAGCCTCTGAGGTACAGGAAGGAGCTTTGATCTCCAGGTGATAATTGATACCTGTGAGGAATGGTGCCCCTAGAATTAAAGAAATGAAAAGCAGAAGTAAAACCATAATAAATGAAGGCATCTATTAGTTTTTGAAGTTTATGTTTATTTTTATTTTATGTGTGTAAGTATTTTGCCTGTGTGCATGTATGTGCATGACGTACATGCCTGGTGCCTTTGGATGTCAGAAGAGGGTATTGGATCCCTTGGAACCATGAGCCACCATGTAGGTATTGGGTACTGAATTCAGGTCTTCTGCAAAAGAAATAAGTGTTCTCAACCTCTAAAGTAACTCAGCTCTCCATCTTCTTTTTCCCTTAAAAAAAAAAAAAAAGAGAGAGCCAGATGTGGTGGTACACACCTTTAATCTCAAAACTTAGGAGGCAAGGGCAGGTAACTCTGAGCTTGAGCCAGCCTGATCTACAGAGTAAGTTCCAGGACATCCAGGGCTACACAGAGAAACCATAAAAAAAAAAACTAAATAAATAAATACAAACATACAGCAGGGTCTCACGCCCTGGCTGGCCTGAAACTCATTATATAGAAACTAGCCTTGAGCTCACAGAAATCTACCTGACTCTGCTTCCTCAGTGCTAGAATTAAAAGTATGTACCATCATGCCCAGCTATGGGGCTACCTTTTAAATGAGGTGCACATGCAGAAGAGGATGGATGGATGGATGGATGGATGGATGGATGGATGGATGGATGGATGACACACACAAACAATTTAAAAAACAAAACTCTATTTAAGAACTAGTCTCGCTTCCCTCTCTGACCACATAACATCTCCCAGCCCAGCCTGTTCGGGCTCTAGGACCGAATCCGAATCGGCAGGGCAAACGGGGGGGGGTGCTAGCTCCTTTGTCCCCACTAGCCTGCCTGCAGCAAGCTAGAACCTTCATCTGGTGATGGATGGAGATAGAGACAGAGACCCACACTGGAGCACTGGACTGAGCTCCCAAGGTCCCAATGAGAAGCAGATGGAGGGAGAACACGAGCAAGGATGTCAGGACCACGGGGGGTGCACCCACCCACTGAGACAGTGGGGCTGATCTATTGGGAGCTCACCNTTTTTTTTTTTTTTTTTTTTGTCTAGTTATTCTGATACAGTCTTTGTTTTGCCTTACAGAATCATATGCATGCAATCCTCTGTGACACATTTGCTTTAATGAGCATTGTTTTTTTAGATTCATTAATGTTGATACATGTGCTGTCTTTCATTTGTGTCCAATAGCTTTTTGACATATCATAATTTATATGATGGTTTGGTTCCAGCTTGGGGAAGTTGATTCCACCTTCTGATATGCCTATGATTCTTGTGTGCAAGAGCTTATCTCTAGAGGTCAGGTGACCCCTTCAAAGAAAGTTTCAAGAACAAAGATGATGGCTAGACATCCATAAGAAGATGAACAGTTATTTTAGGATAGTAGAAATTTGATCAAATACTTGGGAAGAGCCACAAAGAGAGAAGAAATGTGAAGATATAAGAGAATGAAGATATCAGCAATGGGATGGGCTCCTTGGAGTGCAGAAAACCTTTTGTAGAGGGGAGTCTTCATAAAGTGTCTTTCTTGATTTGCTACGGGATTGACTATTCCCCATGTGCATAGTGTTTTGTTTTCCAGTGATTGTTGCTCTGGTAGAGATCTCTTACTGTGGTCTCTGAATAGTCTTGTCTGGACACTTTGCTTTTTTGCAGTGTGAGTTGTTGATGCTCAGCCGGGCCCATGGGGAGGTTGGCTCTGTGCTCTTCTCCCTGTTCTGGTCTGTGCAAGGCAGCCTGCTCTCCTGGTGCTTCCTGCAGCTCAAGAGCACGGACACTGCAGCCAAAGAGCTCGCCACGGATCTTATTGAAAAATGTGAGTGTCAGCAATCCATGGTCGCAGACAGGTGTCAGAATCTGACCCGGCGAGAATGCCCTTCCTCAGTAACTCGTGTCCTTACATATCAGGTGTGCACGTGGCTTCCTGTATCACAGCCCTGTAACAGGGCTGATATTTATCTTTCTTCTTTGACACAGAGTCTCACTACTAGCCCAGGCTGACTTCAAACTCAAAGTTTTGCTGCCTCAGCCTCATAGTCAGGGTTTACAGGCATGTATCTCTGTGACTGGCATAGCTTCACTTACAGAAATGTTATCTCCACTTCTCTGAAAAGTAACAAGAACAAAGGCATCGCTCACTCTAATGCAGCCTTTTACTAAAATCTCCACTGTTTTTCCCTTCCAGAAGCATTTTCATGATGGCTAACAGTCTCATCTGATGTAAAACCCCAGCTTTTGTATTCCTGGGCAGCTGTGGTCCTCAACTTTATTAATGCTGTGACCCTTTAATACAGTTTTCATGTTGCGGTGACATCCAACCATAATATTATTTCATTGCTACTTTATAACTGTAATTTTTACATTACAATTTTGAATCATAATGTCAATATCTGTGTTTTCTGATGGTCTTATGTAGTAGGAAGCTGCTTGTTTGTTTCCTGGCTGCCCAGACTCCCAAAATAATCAACAAAAACAGTATTACTTAAATCACTACTTTGCTGATCCCTTAAGTGTATTGCTAGCTAGCTCTTACATCTAGTATTAACCCATTTTTATTATTTTATATTTTACCATGAGGTTCATGGCCTACCGGCAAAGTTCTGACTGACAGCTCATGACTATCTCCTCTGGCAGCTCCATGGCTTCTCCTTGACTCTACCTTCTTTCTCCCAGTATTCAGTTTAGTTTTCCGTGCCTACCTCTGTTCTGCCTTGCTATAGGTCCAAAACAGTTTCTTTATTAATCAGTGGTAATCACAGCATGCAGAGGGGAATCCCACATCAGTCTTAGGTGACCCCTGTGAAAGGGCTCATTTGATCCCCAAAGGGGTTGTGACTCACAGGTTGAGAATCACTGCTCTGTAGCTTCATCTTTGGTGACAATGAAGCAAGTAATATTTCTCCTAAATAAAGTATTAACTACTCTCTTTATGTTTTGTAGATGTGGGACAGTTTCTGGCAAGCACAAGAGTGATTTTAGAATCCCTTTTGTCACAGTATAGTGGAAAAACCATAGTAGAAAAATTATGTAATTCAGTGTTTTCCATGGCAGCTCGTCAATTGGTAAGAGAAAATGGAAGCTGTTTGTAATAAACTGGGAGGGGTGCTCATCCCAGGAGAGCCTAAAGTACACGCTAAGCCCTCCATTCATTCTCCTGCAGGTCATCTTCCTGCTAGACTTCTGCAATTTAGATGTTTCTCACTGCACACTCCTGAGAGAGTTCAGCACCCTCACAGAGCTGTTGAAGAAGCTTTGCAGTGACCCTGAAGGAGGCCTGAGCAAGGTGACTCAAGGTGGCCCTTGAACCTGCATTTTCCTCTCCTGGGAGAGAGTGGCTGCTCTGACTGATGCCTCCACATGTAGATCAGTTCTTCCAACAAGGGTAGTAAATGCTGACCCTAGTAGATTTGTCTTCATCAGCATAAGAAAAGAGACCCAAAGGAAGCCATGCAATTAATATCATTTGAAACTGTATGAAATTCATTGGTGTGAATACTTAGCTGAAGTTTAGAAGACTTCATAGGCAAGTTAGGTTTGGTGTTTAAAGAAGTCTCTTCTTCATTTTTCATTAAACAGTTTCTAATGGTCTGCATCCCACAATGGCCCTATGGCAATAGAAAATGTATATACATTTCATAGGTTTAAAAGGAAGTCAGGGAAGAAGGGAGGTCAGGAAAGAAGGGAGAAGTCTCATTTGCGAAAATCCTAAATAACAATGTTAAGTCTCATTGTTTTGTTAAGTCTCAAATTTGGTTTTTTGTTTTGTTTTATTCTCTACTGAAAAGTCATACTCGTAATCATTTGTAAGAAATAGTTCTGTCGTAGCTAAAAGACAGAAGCTGGTCACAGCTCCAGGACTATAGTAAAAGCAGGTGTGTACTATACTGAGTGATGAGCAGGTGTTGATGTCTATATGGACTGCAAGTCTGACATGTTATTTAGCCCTGCTTTTCAGAGCTGCCAGAGCCCATGCCCCTGCAGTGCTGATAGCACCCTGTTGTACCAGCTGTGGTGGAGTGATTTGAGCTGTTTTTTAAAAATGACTCATTTTTTTTTCCTAGATGGACGTAGAGACCTGGCAGCAGGAACAGCCTGTGGTATTGCATACATGGATCAAGGAATCCACCCACAACTATGAAAATAACTGCCATGAAGTGTCTGTCTTTGTTAGTCCAGGGGCAACTTATTTTGAGGTGGAATTTGATGAGAGGTGTGAGACTGAGAAAAGGTGAGAGTTGTAGAATCTTTTCTAAAGCTACAGTGGTCAAAAACACGAGAAGGAAGTAACAGGAACTGTGCTTCCACAGGTACGATTATTTGGAATTTACTGACTCTAGAGGTGGGAAGACACGCTATGACACCAAAGTTGGCACTTATAAATGGCCCAAGGTAAGTGGCATTCACAGAAAGAGGTGAAATGTCCCCTTCTGCAGTTTTTCTCCTTTTGTTAGACCTTGGGACAACAGAACTATCATTCTTGACTAGTGGATCCAGCTCCCAGTTAGTTCTGCTTAGTCTCTGTGCTAACGGTTGGGAGCTGTGTTGTCGGCTGCTGTCAGGAATCTTGGTTGGGAGCAGAGGCCTCTATCAGTATGATGGCTGGCCGGAAAGGTTGCAAACAGGTGGTCACCCAAGTTTTCCAAAGATGAGCAGACATTTTTCTCCTTGTTTTGCTTCTTTGTGAGTACAGTTTTAAATATGGGGGCTCAATTGTATCTGTGTACATTTCTCCTTTAATAGTTTGAACTTCTGGAAATAGAGACTTTTTCTTAAACTTAAATGTTTTAAGTTTCAAGTTGCTTGTTGACTACTGAGGTGCAGCCTCCTGCCATCTCGTTGACCACATGACTTTGCTTGTCTCTAGAAAGTGACCTTTAAGGATGGTCCTCGGCTGCAGTTCCTCTTTCATTCTGACAGCAGTAACAATGAGTGGGGATACAAGTTCACTGTCACTGCATATGGCCTGCCTGATGTTGCTGTGTCGTGGGGTTTGGATTTGCAACTCCTTGTCTCCCGACTGATGGGGCGACTTGCTTCCCAGTGCATGGCGCTTAAGTCAGCGCATCGTAAGTTGTGACCTTGGCTCTTCCTTTTCATCAGAACCATGTTGAGGAGCAAGATGGGGCTCTCTTCTAGGTAGTCCTCACATAGTGATAGAGCAAGGTATCAATAACATTCCCGGACAGTTTCTTTTGGCACCATTATTAGGAAGTTTCCCGACTTGTGCTTTGGCCCTCATCCCAGAGGGTGCCATGGAGTCTGTCTATGAAGGATAAGTGGGTGAGGAGTCAGATTTTAACAGGCATAGTAATTTTAATTTGTTAATAGATTTAGCTATAGTCTAGCCAGAGGGCAGAGATATAGAATCAAACAACTGTATGTGGATATTTATATAGTCTGTGGATGTAGAAATATGGCTTTGTCGTAAAATAATTTAACTTGTTATTAAATTCTTCAAAGATTTGGAATAAATCTCTATAAGACTTGCAGAATAAATCTTTCTGTTTTTAGGCCTGGTGGTGCACACTTTAAATCCCAGCACTAAGGAAGCAGAGACAGGTGGATCTCTGTGAGTGTGAGGTCAACCCGGTCTATGTTGCGAATTACAGGCCATATAGTAAAACCCTGTAGAAAAGTTTTTTCTTTCTGTTTTGTTATTTCTCTATATCACTTCTTAAGTTTTTCTAATTGTAAAAGTAAAATGTCATAGAAAAATGACATAAGGGAGAACAAAACAAACAAGCAAAAACCCCAGAACAATAGAAACCTCTTCCACTCTAACACCTGGAGCTAACACCTTACACTGTGCTCAGCACCTTCATGTTGCCCTAGACTTCGCTTCTGTTACCTAGGGTGAGTGTTTAGTTGTGTGAAAATAGCTTTATAAATGGCGAGTGTTTTCCCATGATTAGTATTCTGACATGGCCCCGTCAGGCCTGAGAGCTAGCTCCCACCACGCTTCCCACTTTCTGAGTCTCTTTGTGCCTGCCGATAGCAGAGCAGCAGCAGTCAGGGCTCAGGCTCCAGGGTGACCCACGATGGATGTTTATGAGGTGTCACAATCCAGTCTCAGAATTGTAGGTGAATTTCCTCCGAAAAAAAATTTTATCAGCTCAAAGATTTGTGTACTGTATTAAAAATAGAACCCTCATGAGCCACCTTTTCTCTACAGATTTAGGCAGTAACATGGCAGTATCACAGGCAAAATTGGCTTCAGTCCTGAATTCTCCTTTATGGAAACCTGTCTTCAGGCATCAGATTTCTCCAGAGTTAGAATTAGAAGCAAACTGGCCCACTCACCAGCACCAGGATGGGAAGAAGGTATTTATTCTTCTGTCACCTTTCTGTTTATGTGGAAACTTATGGCTTGTATCTGTTACCTTAAGTTACAAACATTGCATTTTTGTCTTATCACCTCTGTGGGACTGTGAGCTCCTTGAAGCGGAAGCTGCCATTGTTATTTTTATCCCCCAACCTGTGTACAACAGGGGCCTGAATACGATGAGTGGTCACAAGTGTGAAACGAATGACTGTTGAAATATAGTCAGTGCTCAGTGGCTCTTTGGTATTACCACACAGACGTGGACTCTGCTTCTTGTGCCTGCAGGATCACACTTTAAATGATTTGTGCCGTTCCTTTTGTTCCCCACTGAACTGTATGTAGCACTTAGCTTAGGTATATGGTATTTTTAAAACAAATTTACTTTGCCCTTTGTCTCTACTTGTCCCTCTTTTCCCAGTCTTCTCTTTTCCTTCCTTCTTCTCCACTATTCCTCCTTCCTCCAGAGTTATCCCATGGTTTATTTCCAAACCCAGTGGCTCTTCCTCTTCTGGTCTCCATTCTGTCTGTTAAATCCACCACCCTTTAGGCCATGCCTTCTGTTCATGATAGTTGAGAATCTTTTCTTACTACCTGTTCTTTCTCCCTCTTTGTTGCCCTTTCCCTGCTCTTCTCTAAAGGGTAGACTATATTCAGGCTTCCTTTTCTTTCCCATAACTTCCCTTCCCCCCAGGATGTCATCTTCTGTCCTCTCTTACTGTTCAGCTATGGGAATAATCCTGTAATCCGTCTGGCCATAGCTCTTCTCCAAACTCCAGTCTTCTCTTAGGTGTTTCCATTTCAACACCCTGCCTCTAATTAAGTCCAAAGTGTGAAACCAGAATGCCTCCCCAACAGACTGTTCAGTGGTCATTACTTGCCTAGCCCTCACCACTGCTCCATAGCCTTCTTCATCCCTGCCCTGTTCTTGCCCTTCCTGTGTGGTCAGCTGCAAACCCTACAGATTCTTCCTTATGATGTGCATCTCTGTCCTCCCCTCAGTCTCCATCTTTATCTAAACCCTCTCTTTGCACCTGCATTATTACATTGGGACCTACCAAGATTTTTTTGTTTTTGTTTTTAATCACTGCATTATCTTGTCATTCCACTGCCAAGCACCATTAATGGCTCCCCATTGCTCACAGGGTGAAGTCTAAACTCCTCAGTGTGACAGTCAAGGCTCTCCACAGTCTCCTTTCACCTTACCTATCTGACTCTAGTTCCCACCACTCCCCAGCTGAGACTTCAGGCCAGGTCAGTCTCCCCACTGACTCTTAACCTCTGCAAATGGTTGTGTCTCAGGGCCAAGGCTTCCCTTCCTTCAGTGTCCATCCTTAAGCCTGTGTTCTTCAGGAGGTTTTTCTTAATTACTTTGACCTGCCAGGAGCTTTGTGAAACTGGGTACCCCTTTAGGTATTTGACACTGGGTGATATTTTGCTTTATGGTAGTTCTAGTTTTAACACTCTTAGGTTTTGTTTGTGTTTACTTTTTAAACCTGTACATCTTTCTGGTCTCCCAAATAGATTTAAGCTTCCTGAGAGCATGCACCATGTTGTGTTTTTACTTCTGCTTTGTCTTAGTAGGTGCTCATTGATTTTTTTTTCATATGAGTGTGTTAAATGTGATGATTTTCCTCTTGATCCTAGGTCAAGAACATCCCTGATGATCCCTGCCGCCATTTTCTCCTTGATTTTGCCCAGTCAGAGCCTGCTCAGAACTTCTGTGGGCCATATTCAGAACTTTTCAAAGGATTCATACAGGCATGTAGAAAACAGGCCCCAAAGACAGATATAGTTGCTGGTTCCACTATTGATCAAGCTGTGAACGCCACCTTTGCTGCTCTGGTGTATCGCACTCCAGATTTATATGAGAAGCTGCAAAAATATGGTAACTCATATTACAGGGAATATGTTTGCTCTGAAGGCTAATTGCTAAGGTTTAAGAAGGCCCATCTAAGCGGAGGATCTAGAAATACTTAAAGATATTAGTCCACGTCTACAACTTAACCTTGTCAGTTCTACTTTGCCAATCAAGAGATTAATGGTTAATTTACGATTAGCACTTGGCAACTTACAGTATGTGTCAGGTAACCTTGTTCTGCAGAACTCCCATGGAAAACTACCACCAAAACATTTAACTGAAAGAAAACCCTCCTAGCCCCAGCCTCAGCATGCTCAGACAACCTTTCTGCATCTCCTTTCCTCATTGTTTACAAGGAGGGAGGGTCTCTACCATCATCTTTATTCAGGGAAAAGCATTCAAAGCCTACATAATGCTGAGTATGCGTTTCCCAAACACTTTGGCAGGGTACATGTTCCTTCAACTGCAGATAAAATAAGAAGGAGCAGATGCTTCCCCATATTAGAGTAGGTGATTGACTCATATCATTATTATATATAATGATCTCTATAATCTGTGTAGCTCAGTCCTTTAGCTCTCGCTTTATTTCTTGTTTGCCAAAATATCTGAATTACTCCTCAAATCTTACATATTTTTAAAAAAACATTCAAATAAAACTATGTTAAGACATTAGTGATACATGAAAGACTATATCTTCACTGAACTATGGGGGAGAGGTCATCTGCATGGTTTTGGGAAAGAAATTAGTATGCGTTTTTGTAGTCAAATTATGGTAAGGTAGCAAATCATCTTTGTTACTTAAGGGACTTCTTGTTAGACAGATAAAGGGTTTGTTGTTCTGCCACTGATTTGTATCCCTTACCTTCGTTATCAGTTTGAAAGGGACAAGTTTTATCTCACTCAGTTCATTCTGTAACTGTCTTTTTTTTTTTTTTTTTTAAATAAGACAGGGTTTCACTATATAACCCTGGCTGGCCTGGAGCTTTCCCTGTAGACCAGGCTGGCCTCAAACTCACAAATATCTGCCTCACCTAGGTAGATACCACCACTTGTGGCCCTCTGCTATTGTCTTTACGATAGATAGATACATCATTATCTAAGAACCATTCAGGAGTTCTTCAACATTCAACTACATTGAGAATGGCCTTTTGTAACTGTTTTCTTTATTTTTCTCTAAAACATGGGTTATTATTAGTCTTTTGAGTTGCCTTAATTCCATGATATGGTGTGACCCCTATACAACCAGGGAAATGAGAGATTTCGGCTAGATTGTAAGCTTTTGGGGTCGGGATCCTGTCTTTTTCTCAGCTTTGCACGCCTGGTGCCTGTTGTAGAGCCTGTTTCACCCTGTTCTAGGATATTAGCTTTTGATTTTGATGAGGAGAAGTGGCAGGCTTCAGAGATATTTTTTAAATGGGGGTTGTTATTTTTCTAATTAGAAAAAATTATATTCATTCTTACAGAGGCTTACAAACTAAAGGAAAGATTAAAGTAATTATGAACTATAATCTTATCACAGTACCTCTGCCAAGATATTTCTACATATCTACCAGGCCTTAGATAGATTCATTGTATATGTATTTGTCCATTCGTGTCTTAAAGGTAGTTTTTTTTTAAAAAAAAATCATTTATACTGTTTCATAATCTGCTTTCTTATTAATGTACTGTAAGCTGCTTCCCATGTCAGAGTCCTTTTTTTCCCAAGTCTTGTCTAAGCTGGCTAGCTAGTTAAGGAGTCCAAGGATTCCCCCATCTCTATTTCATAAATTATTAACTTGAGCAAAATTAGATTGAAATGACATGGAGAACTTTAGGTTTTGTGCTTTTCCTTTTACCATCCCTAGTATGTGTCAGAAGGGTGCTAGGATTCAGAGGGTTAATGCTGCAGCGGTGTATTGTGCCAGCTGAACGTAATCTCTTCCTTTCTTCTTCTTTCCCTAGTAAACAGCGGGGGCAAGATAACCCTGAGTGAGGAGTTCTCTCAGGTGTATTCCCTGGCAGATGGGATTCGAATATGGATGGTAAGGTTTGCCTCCCCATGAAGTTGTGACATGCCTTAGATTTTCCCACTTCAATAAACGGAATTTCAGTCATGAATAGATGCAAACTTTTATAGCCCTTGGATCATAATTTAATTAAGTGTTGAAAATGCCAAGTAAATGGGGTTCAACTGAGCCCTTTCTATCTCCTTTTGTAACTCTTAAGACTTCCTTATGGATACTGAACAGCCAGTGCCTGTGTTAGGGAGAGAAAAGGCCCTAGCATATTGCAGAAATGGGTCTACAGCAGTAACATGGAAGAACCAAATGTTGATTAGTTTGTGTGTGTGTGTGTGTGTGTGTGTGTGTGTGTGTGTGTGTGTCTTCTGTTTTTTGAGCAGGGGTTTCTGTAGCCCTGGATGGTCTCAAATTTCCTATGTAGCTGAGGCTGGCATTGAACTTCCTATCCTACCTCCACCTCCCAAAAGCTAACGCTATAAGCATGAGCCACCATACCTAATTTATGTGGCACTAAGGATCAATCCCAGGGCTTTACGTAAGCATTCAACCAACTGAGCCACATCCCTAATCATGTATGTTATAATTATATAATACTGTGTCACAATGTCATATGGTAATGTGGTATTATATTAAAATAAAAGTGAAACACAGTACTCCTAACTAAAATTGAAAGGCAAAGAGTATCTGAGAAAGTCGGCTACCACAAATAGTTCCATAGAAAGGGTTTAGCAGTTGACTAGATACTTTGTAGATTATGCTTCTGATATAGCTTATGACTGATGATGGTTTGATAAGATGTCATTCCTCTCTTTGAGACCTTAGCCATACAACAGATATGCCCTTTCTTTCAAGACTCTCCAAATTAAGGACCATGCCCTGGCAATGACTGGCCCTAAACACCCTTCTCTGCAAGAGCGCTTCACTTGGGAGTGTCCTTGTGTTCAGGGTAGAATAGACTTCAGATTTCTGTCTGACCTTCACAGCAAATTAGATATGTGGCCCTATCATGCTACATTTCCCTAGATCTCCACTCTTTTTTTTTTTTTTGTCTCTCCTAGTGGTATTAAAGAATCCTCCAACTACAGTGTACTAGTTATTT